GGTTGTCATTTTCCTTGTTGTCGGTGAAGACAGTGGGCATAAGGACATTGAGTTGCCCAATGTAACACAGTCGTTAAAAGGAAGGTCTGGGATTTAAATTCACCATACCCATCTTAATGCAAAGTTTACTCATTCACTTATCACCTATTTATAATACGTCTACCATGCATACTACTAGGTAATTCTGGACATATATTTTACATCCAGAGCTTTGAATTGGAGGAGTTTAATATTATGTTCATAGCTGCTCCAAGTCAAGCGTTTTCTATGGTAAAATAATCTTACGAAATACAGCGTAGAAAAGTTTTCAGCTGTTTTATTGTTGTCGTCATCTGTCTTTAATGAAGTTCTTGGCAGAGCTCGAGAAGTTACTCTGTGTAATGCGACGTTCTAAGTAAGAAAATGGTAAATAGCTTTTCTCGGTGGTTTGGCGACCTAACCCTTTCAGTCCGCGGAGCATCTCTTGAGACGAACATTCCAAGGATCGTGCTTGTGAAACTTTGGGTTTTTACTCCGTATGGTCCGGGGCAGCTTTCTTCCAAGTCCGCGATGCCCCGGTGCTGTGTTATCTCAACTACCAGGTTGGCCTGTTTCTTCTGCCTTCTAAATTATAAGCTGCTGCCAGATTTATATTTCTCTAGCTTGGCTCTGATCATTTTACTCTCCTGCTCATAAGCAAACCTGAATTTCCTCCCCTCCGCACACTAAAATAATTCCAGATGGACCAAAGGCTTAAGTGTAAAAAATGAAACTCTACAAAATCTGTGGAAGAAAACATAGCTGAACTAATTTAAAATCTTATAGTGAGAAAATTTCTTCTAAGCAGAATGTTAAACTACAAACCATCCATTTGACTAAAATTTGGTAACTTTGACTAAATAAAAATGAAAATTACTTATTGCAAGACATCATATAAATTTAAACAAATTATGAGAAGATTTATAGCCAATGACTGATTGCCTTAATCAAGGACCCATTCAAATCTGTAAGCAAATGATAAACCATGAACCCATAGGGAAGGGGGGAAAAGGATATGAACAAGAGTTTCCTAGACAAAGAAATAGAAATGTAGGTCACTAAAATGTGATTTACTCAAATGGTAATCAATAGAGAAAAATGGAGATACCATTTTTCATCTGACGTTGGTTTTAAAAAAGGTTTCTAACATCCAGTGTTGGCGAGCATTAAGAGAAACAAATAAAAAGAAACCATATACTCTTGGTGGGAGTATACATTTGACAGATTTTGGGAGAAGGATTTGACAACATCGTCAGAACCGGAAAAGATGCACATTAATGTGCCAAGCAGTTCCTTCCAATGTTAAAAAGATTTCTTTTACGTGTAACCACTTATGAACCCGAAGATAGTCATACAAGATGCTTATTGTAGTATTGTTTGCTCTAGTAAAAAAAAGGGAAGAGATGCAAACACCCAGTATTTGCTGACTACTGACTTCAATTAAGACACTAACACAATGATAACTTACTCAGTTGTTTCATAAAAACCAAAAACGATTGAATCTGTATTGATGATATGAGCAGAGCTCCAAGAAACTTTAATTGCGAAAGTGAAAGCATCCAGTCCAGTGCATATAATGTGATTACATTCGAGTTAAAAGCAATTCTTGTCTTTTTTGTTTTCTGTAAAACACCCAAGAAACTGGTACATGACAGGCACGGGGGTAAGGGAAGGTTAAGAGGGTAAAGACTTTACTTTTTATTTCAGACCTTTCAGAGTTGTGTGCGTGTCTTACATTTGTTAAAATGTTACAAAGAAAGAGGGCAAAACAAAAACAGAACGAAACCACCCTGTATCTCTTGCAGAACAAACACTAAACTCCTTATTTTGTTATTTTTGGGCACTTTGATCTCTGGCTCAACTCTGCCTTTTAAACTTCACTTTTTATTACCTTTTTTATCCATCGTTTCTGGATAAATGGAAATGCTTGCCTGGCACTCTCCGCATCTTGTCATTTTGGTCTCCGTCCCCTCCTGCCCTTTCCGCGCCAGTGCCTTCCGCTCAGAGGACCTTGGTCCCTCCCTGCTTGTCCAGGTTCACCTGCCATTCAACTCCCGTCTCTCTTTCAGCCTCCACCGACACCCCGGCTAGACTAATCTCCCCCGACCGTGAACTTGCATAACTTCAAGTTCAATTCTGTTTTGCCACTCACCTCTTGGGTTATATTTACAGTCTGCCTGCTGCCTGCCAGGTGCAGAAGAGCAGGATCTGGGATTAATTTTCCTTCATAACCCCCTCCCAGTGCCGGGCACTGAGCCATGCCCTGTCACCTGTGGGAGTGTGTGGCACGTGAGCCATGTTCGCAGGCCTGACAGGTAAGGAGCCCAGGGAGACTTGACGGGCTCTAGTGTCGCTGAGCATGAGCAGAAATGAGTAGTGCCACACATGTTATCAGGAGCATAAATTGGTGAGACGTTTCAGGAGGACCGATGCATGGCTGTTAGTCTGTCTGAGCGTACACAGAACTACAGTGTGTTAGGGATGGAGCAGGAAACAGGGGCCGCTGGTGCTGAAGGCCGTGATATTCTACATTTGAGGCTGTGTCACTCCATGGGGTCCACAAGGCAGAATCAGTGGCAGCCCCAGCCTGGAGGCTCCATCACTGACCTCCTGGCGTCACTCTCCCGCCTAAGCACCAGCCTACCTCTTTATTCCAAGAGCCTCATTGTTTGTGAAGCTCCCAGTGAACAAGGTTAAAGTCCACCCATTCAGGTGTCAGCTCATCATTTGTATAATCTGGGCGTTGCGTTTCTGAGCAGCCGACCTCTTTTCAGAGCCTGCCTAGTTGAGACATCACGCGGCTGACAGGGAGGCACTTAGGCTCAGAGAGAAAAGTCACCCTGGGCTCCCCCCTTCCTCAAATTTTCCCGAACAATTAACGCCGTGCTAACTTGACACCCTCTTTCCTTGTTTGGCTTTGTAAACCCTGGTCCCTTTTTCTATTAATTCCAGACATTAATATTTTCTTTCACGCAACTGCCGCCATTCACCCGTGAAACAGTTTGAACATTATGTAGCTGTCAAGATGCCTGGGGATTACCCAGTATGCTTTGCCTGTGAGAAAGTGACAGTATCGAGGCCTGGTTTTGAGATGTTTATTTTGAGAGGACGCTGACAAGCATGAAGCCCTGATCCCAGAGTGGCAATTTCATTTAATTAAAGGCCTCTTTTTATTATAGTTTTTCCTCCACTTTTATATATATATATATATATATATATATATATATATATATATATATATATATATCAGAATGATTGTTAAAGTCTGACTTCCAAGGGGGTTAGCGGGCAGATTGCTCACTCACTAGTGAGCATTCCACTGAATGGCTATGAATGTGCTCGTTTTTACAATCCCACTCAGAACTGCCGCTTAACTTGGTGTGTGTGTGTGTCCAAGTTTAAACTGAAGACAGCTGGGCTTTTGCCCCCACGTTGCCAAACTTAACGTGTGAGACTTGAATATGTATATGTGTATCTTTGTAGTTTAATTTCTTTGTTTTAAAGTTAGTAGCCTTGCGAGCCTGGAAGACTCACCAAAATTATTCCTTGGCTTACCCATGAAGACTTTTAAACAATGCATAGTATCTTGCTCGACGGGGATGTGGCTTTTGGTGAAAATCATTGGGAAATGGATTGCCTTGATTTCCAGTAATTTTTAGTTCTGCAGCTAGGAGAAACATAAAAAAGAGCTAAAAAAGTAAAAGATTCAAGTAATTGGTGATGGGTATTAATGATTTTCTCACTGTTAGTGACAAAGTAGCCGAATGGCTTTTTGATCCAATATTCTTAGACTGTTTTGTCTTGACATTATTATCAAGGATTCAATTCAGTACATAGGCAGGGGCCTATGCTGGGCTCTGTCCAAGGCACTTGGGATAAATCGGGGAACAAAACAGACTGTTGGTCTTTGTGTACTTGTTCACCATTCTGTGTTTTACAATGAGTTATATTATACGTCCCCAGATTAGATTATCTCTTTCTTTGTAGCACGATCCGCTGGCCGTTCATTTGTGTCTTCTTTATTCATAATTCACTAGGCAAGAATGCACAGTTGTGTCCCAGTCACTGTTATGTGTCCCAAGTATGATAGCACTTTTTCATGCATGAAGCACACACGCCCCACACATAATCCATGTATTCTGTTTGTAGGCATTTTTCCCCCCTCTCAATTGATCTGAAAGTGTGGAGGAGGGTCTGTCATTGGCCCTTTTTCTCCTGCTTTGGATATCGTGGCTGGGGGGACCGTATTCATTTCTTGTGGCGTCTGTTTCAAAGCTCCCCAGGAGGAGCCGGCAGGTCAGGGGTGGCGCCCCGAGGCCAGCCGCGGGCCTGGCTGATGTGGCGTTCAGCTGGCTGGGGTGAAGCAGTGTTCGCTGCTCAACTGCAGGTGTGGGAGGCCGCAAAGAATGGCAACGTTGTCCATTTAATCTCAACACCCCGGTTCCAGTCTTAGTCCCCTCGCCCCATCTTTTGAGCTGGTGGTTCCAGAGATTGATTTATTTATTATGATTATATTCTAAAGTACAGGGTTCTGTTGAGTCAGCCATCTGGCCAAATGTTTGAAAACTTTTTTTTTTTTTCCCCTTTTCACTGACTCCCTGCCATTCTTAGGAGGGGTGGGCTTCTCCCCAGGACTCCTGACATTGCGGGCTGGTGCCAGTGGGTTTTATTTCTTGAATTTTTGTGGGTAATGTAGTGATGACATATCCACAATGAAACAAAACAGAAAAAGCTCAAGGAGCCTATTTATATTCCGCCACTGAAGGCAACGAAGAATCAGTCATTTACCCCAAATTGTTTCATATGTCTCTCCTCTCCACCTACGGGGCCTTCAGTCTCTGCCCAGGGAGAGATTTGTTCTGGGTGCACACGATGAAATGCTTTGAGCCTGAGGAGTGTGGAAAGAATCTTTACTTAATGGAGAGATCCTAGACTTTCATGTATATTTGAAAAACCTGTCTTGCTCTCTTTCTCTTTTCAAGGCACAAGCGACCCCTACGTGAAATTTAAGCTGAATGGGAAGACGCTGTACAAAAGTAAAGTCATATATAAGAACTTGAACCCGGTTTGGGATGAGGTAGTGGTCTTGCCCATACAAAGTCTTGATCAAAAGCTCCGTGTGAAGGTAATCAGAGATGGCTTTCAGATCTGTTCTTTTATTAAAAATGCTTATTTCTCAGCAGTCTTTGCCCTCTTCAGACTGAACCTCCTCAAATTAATTTTTTTTGTTGTTGTCCTTAAGCACTGGGTTAAAAATATTAGTGTGGAGAGAATTCTTTATATGCTTTGTCAAAATTGTGTATTTCTTTCAGATCCATGAGATATACTCTACAGAAAATCAGAGTGAAAACAATATCGCCATTGATTGTCTTTAAACTTACTGAATGTGGAAGAATTATTACTGCTAGTTCAGTAGCAACGAGTACTAAAGCCTTTCTCATTAGGAAGAACTTTATACTTAATAGAGCTTTGAGCTCCTGGTTGTAAGCATTAATTGCTCTAACATCTGGGTTAAAACTGCATGAGTTGAGTGCAAGATGAGATTGCTATAGAATATTTAACAAATTTCTATTTAATTGACAGACCTGCTCACCGTGGAAAATACTAAATTTTAATGAGAGACCATTTAAATCACCGAGGGTAGTCCATTGTGCATAACATCTGAACACATATGAATCCTGCCTTAAAACTACTTTCTGCTGCTGTTTTGGCTGTGGTGGGGAAAATGGACAAGTTTGAATAATTGTGTTTTCTCTGTCAGCTTGGCTAAATTCCTCTTGAACTGTACTAAATTTACTGTACTGTGTAAAGTTCTCAGCCTGTTACATTTACTAATGATTTGATAAACTCAGTTTACCACATTCATGTGTGTTACTGGCCCCTTTTCAAGGTATATGATCGAGATTTAACGACATCTGATTTCATGGGCTCTGCATTTGTCGTTCTCAGCGATCTTGAGCTTAACAGGTATTGTATTTTTACCTTCTAATAGTTCTTAATGAATTTCAGAGGGAACTCAAGATAATGGCAACTGGCATTTGTTTAGCTCAAATGACAAAAAAAAAAAAACAAAAAAAAAACCCCACTCTGAATAAATGAAAGAGTGCTTTAAAATGTCATTTTTAAATGATTTTTGCCTTTTAGCTCCCAAATGTACTTGTCAGATATTAAATCCTCCATGATGTATTGTAAAATGTGTGTTGAATATTGTACTCTCATGTGTTAATATTCAGGTTTCTCTTAACCTACCTAAGTTAAAATTAAAACAAGTATTTAAATCTTATTTGGGAGAGTAGGTGAGAAGAAGCAGTTAACCAACTGTTGAATTAGGCAATGCCAAACAATTTCTCTACCCAGAAAGTGGTTGGCTTATTTTCTGAATTTTGTGCTTTTTTTAACTTGTGTCTAACCCTTATTCAGAGTTAGGAGACTTTACCATAAGCTTCTGATGCATTATAAATGTACACAGTACTGCCAGTAAGTGCTAACATTATTTGTTGTTGTTTTTTTTTGTTTTTTGTTTTTTGCTTGTAGAACAACTGAACAGATCTTAAAATTGGAAGATCCAAACAGTTTGGAAGAGGACATGGGGGTGATTGTGTTGAATCTGAACCTAGTAGTAAAACAGGGTGATTTCAAGAGACACGTAAGTATCACCATTGTGTTTTGAAATCCTTCATTACAATTGTCCTTTGGTTCTGGGCTGCCAGATGACTGATCTTTTTGTCACTGTTTTGAGGGGGAAAGAAATAATTTTATAGAGACTTAAAGAACCTATCTGTAGTTATATATGTCCTCGTTTTTGGAACTCTGGAAGGAAAATCAATTAAGAATTCTATTTTGCTAGGGATATGGATAGTATTGCTGTGATTAAAATGTATATATTGCTTATGGTTTGCTTGTAATGTATCACCTGAAATATACTTTTACTAAGTGTTAAGGTCTTTATTTACAATTTTCTTAGGTACTAAATGACTTGGGCATTGTTCAGTTATGGAAAGCAGTTTCCAGGATTTAATTGTTGCATTGTACATTATTAAGGAGATCAAGTACATATTTGAAGCATTTCAGTGTCTTCTTTTTTCTCTATTGAGAAAGTTCTCTATTGAGAGTACTTTTGGGAAGATATAGATTTTAATGTTCTCTGGACTGTTATATAGAAATTTCTAGTTAATGCACAACCTAGTGAAGATTCCTATGACATTAACAAAGCATTGGGTTTTGGGATGATATGACTAGAATACTGTTATTAGGAGCAAATATGTAAAGGCAAATAATAGTCTCATTTTATATTTAGAGAATATAATTAAATTTCAAGAATTAAAATAAGAACTAAAAGCATCTTTGATTGTAATTTATTTGAAAGGTATTTTTAAAGCCAGCTAAATAAAATGCCTACTTGTAAAAGGACTAAGATGTGTTAAAATCTAGCATGTTTAGAATCTGGCATGAAAATGTGAAGCCTGTTTATAAATTAGGCCTCCAATAATGCTTCTTGAATTGAGTCACTGGGGTCAAGGAGGAGAATATTCTTCATTTTGACATCATCTTTGCTTGTAGTTGTAATTTATTTTCATGATGAAAATCCTGACTGATTTACTAGTAAACTCAGAAAATGGCTTAAAGGAGTAGGGAAACTACACAGTGACTTTACAAATGCCAGAGTGTCGACTAAATAGTGGCTATTTTTAATTCAAAATCTTAGGAGTATTTATTTGACAATAACTGGGAAAAAAAAACCAAAAAAAAAAAAAAACCCAACCCCTTCATCAATTCTTTAAAAAGTGTCAGTGTTAAAACTTGAGGTCTCTAGAAAACTGATATTTTCGATGTTGAAACATCTTAAATTGCTGTTGAAAATAAATTTATTTTTCTAGCTAACATAACGAAGAAGGGGTTTTCTGTAGCTTCTCTTAGACTTGATAGTATTGCACTGGAGTCCATGTCAATGCGAACAGTAGGTGACCAGTTACTTGATCTGGATTCCAGGTTAAAATAACATGTAATGTAAATAAGTATTACTTGCCACATGGTTGAGCCATTGCTAGCTGATATGTTCTAATAATTTCTTACATATTTAAGTGGGGTTGGTAAAGTTGGATAATTTCCCCATGAAAATACTTGAATGTTTAAACTGCGTAATGGCCGCATTATTTATTCCCCTCGTGAATATTTCTGTAGTGTACTGGGTTATGTTTAGCAGTAACAGTGACACTTAAAATCTACTTAAATGTTGCCGAAATTTGGAGTTTTAAAGTAGTGCTATTTTAGTGAAAACTTTACTTTGAATTGCAGAGAAGTTAATATTAGATGCAGCTTGGGTTTGTTTTTATAAAGCAGCTCAAGGAATATTTTTGAGTTCTCAAAGTAGCCACGCTTGTCATTGTATTTCATTGGGCTCTTTTCTCCTTGGAGTCCCCACTTCCTGTTTTTTGAGAGTTTTTCAGACAGGGTATGTGTTTTCTCATGCACTTCTCTCATTTTCTTTGTTCTTTGCTTGTCTGGCAGGGGTCCAGTGTGCAATATATTTATTTTATATACATTTTATGTGGGTATTATCATATAGGAAATGCTGTCTGCTCTCATTTGCTCCAATTGGTAGTTTTATTTCTTTGGTGTCTATACTTGATCAAAGCATACCCCAGCAAGGAATAATTTATCCTGGGCCATGCTTAGTTAGTTATTCAATTAATAGTGCCTATCAGCGGCCTTTTGGGTATAATATCTATCAGGAAATGTCTGGGCTTTTTTTAAAACTGAGTTTAAGTTAATATTTAAGTCTTCTTATATTGGGTTTTTAAATGGGAATAACACTCGAGACTGGGAAGACAGTGGCCTATGGATAGAGAATAATTTCTGTGTAAATTCCCATCTGAATTTAAAGTCTGATGGAGCAGTTGCAGTTTGAATGGTCAGTTTTGTGCCCACATCTCTTACCATCATCACTGAGGCAACCTTTGTTGCTTTGGAAGCAAGTTGACAAAAACCTCCGTGTGTATGAAATGTCCCTGAATTGAGCCTCATGCATGGATTTATGTGTTTGTGGGCTGTGTCCGGCTAGAAGGTAAGGCAGTGGCTGGAAGGCTGACGAACCTGGTTATCTTTTCCTTTTCCTTGGCAGGAATAGGATTGTAGTTAGAATTATAGCCTCTGTCATCCAACTGCCTGGGAGTGAATCCCAGCTCCAGGATTTTCTAGTTTTGAGAAGTTAAGTGATCAGGGTAAATTCACAGAACAACTTTACCCCTCTCAGCTACAGTTTCTTCATGAATGAAATGGGGATAAAACAAAGGTCACCTATTGGACAGAATTGTGATGGTGGAGATTATTGAATATAGAGCTTCGCGTGCCATAGACAGTCTACATACGGTAGCTCTTTGTATGACAGTAAGCAGACAGCAGTAGACATTTTTAAGATTGGTCTCCATATCCATTTTATTTATCTTTTATAATTGTTATAAAATCAAAAGAGTCGTGTGTCTAAAGGCCCTAAACAGCCTTGGGTATCTATAACAGGGTAATTAATTGCGGTGTTTGTTTTGGGTTGAAGTGTTTGTCAATTATGTTATTGGGAAAATTTGAAATTGTCTCAAAAAGAATTTCTTTCACTACCTTAGTACCCAGTTTGTAGTAGCTACAGCTCGGTGCCACGTGCTGAGTGTTGAACTCACAATTTCATCAGGGGAAGTGTTTTGAATAAAGAATCTTTTCAAGTCATTTCTGTACCAATGTTTCTAGTTGCTGGTCCCTGGAATGTAAGTGGATTTTCCCCAAAGACTTTATTTTCTGGTTCTTTATTAAAAAGATGTATTGGCAGGGTGGGTAGGTCATTTGCCTAAAGGTATTTTTTCCTTAAGCATAATAGTAAATGTGGCCTGCTCAATTAGATTCATAATTGAGTTGTAATCTCCTAAATTTATCCGACTTTGAACATCCAGTTAGCTGGTTAACCAGCCAGAATAGAGCTTCGCGGTACCGGACAGTGATGAGAGGAAGGAAGGAGAGGGCTTTGCTGGGAGAGAATTTTAATTGTAAATGAAATTCAGCAGCCTGAGCATGACAAATGAGAGCTCGAAAGAGAACACTGGTGAACTGAACTTGCTGTTCAGGAAAATTTTTCTTCCCTCCCTCGGAGCCGTATTAGCCTATTTTTCTTAATTGTGCAGGAATGACTCAGATTTGTCTCTCCTTATTTTGAAAACTGAGATTTAATCAGTGGAAGTAAAGGGAATTATTTTCCTGGGATCTGAAACTATGGAAACCTAAACATGAACTAACATTGTCCATGAATCTCTTAAATGTTTTCAAAATACTATCTGAGTATTTCAAGTAGTAAAAATAGGCCTTTTCCCTTTGTTTTTAGAGGTAAAATTATGATGTTTTAAGGCAATTCAAGACATAAATGGACTCCTACGGACTGAGCAGTATTTATATGTCCTTGTACTTTCATTGTTGGAAGCACTGTGAGAAAGTGATGTAACAACCACAGAAATGTGATTTTTCTGTGTTTTTAACTGTTTGCTTGTTCAAACATGTTTTCTCTGTAACCTCAGAGAAAGGTTGGGTATTTTGTCATTTGAACATAGTCTGCTCATCTAAGTAATATGATAATATTTTTATGTTGTTAATGATTCCATTTCTCTCTTTCGTTTTGCCTTCTTTCACCATTCAATGGACACAATCCTCAGCGGTGGTCAAACCGGAAGCGGTTAAGTGCCAGCAAGGTAAATATTATTGTTGTTTTTTTAATTTAAACATCATTTGGTTAAAAGTTCATCTTTTTATGTAGACATGATGAACACACACCACCCTTTACATGGAGCAGTGTTCAGTTCCTCTTACTGCTGTTATGAATAAGGGCACAACCTCCCTTTTAAAATTTCATTTAATAAGGGCATGGCCAGATGTTTGAACTTGCACTGGCTTTCGTGGTGACATTTTATAGGTACCGGCCATGTTAGAACGTTCCACTTCATTAAGCTTAGATTATTGGGAGTGTAGTGCAGTTAGATTTAGTCTTTTAGGAAGTTATTTACCATTAGAGAGAAATGGTGTTCTAGGGAACAATGAAAAAATTAATTGAAAGGATTTTTATGGTGTAGTTTATAAATATGTTTCATAGCTTCTGAAAAAGCCACTTATTGCTTTTTAGGTGAGTTTCTTTAGCTATTTCTTCCTGAAGTACTGGTGATGTTTTACATTGTTAGTATCTACTGAAACAATTTTATACACTGCTTTGCAACTTGTACATGTACCAAGGTAGAACTACATTGTGAATTATCAGGTTATTAAATTAGCATGTTGTAACTGAAGTGACTAAACGTCTAAATTAGTGTACAAATAGACCAACAAAACATTTAAAAAAATTATACCTTAATTTCACAGCTTGGCTGCTTTGTTAAGGAGAATCACCAACGGGTGGGGGCAGCAGGTTGCGTGTTTTAAGGGGAGGGAGCGTCAGCAATCTCTTTACATGCATTTATTTATACACACATGTGCACAAATGTTTGACAACTAATTTCTGACCTCACTGTGCTTCAGCTGTTTTCTTCTCTGTGAAATAAAAGGCTTCAAACAAAGATTTTGTGAATTTGTAAGAGAAAGAGAGAGAACGTGTGTATGTGTGTGAGAGAGAGAGAGACCGAAAGAGACAGAAAGAGAGGGAGATTTGTAACCTGACTAGTCCCGGTCACTTAGGAAGACAGGCGAACTTTAGAAACCTTGCCTTTTAAATTTCATAGGAATCAAAGTTCTGACTCTTAGTAAAATGGACATCCTTTGCATTTTGAACACTTTAAAAAACAGCTATGATAAGGTATTGTGTTATCCTACCAGTTCACTTTGTTTCCAAGACTCTGGTTCTTGTGAGAAATTAAGAGACAATAAAAACGCGAAGCTGTCTCAAAAACCCCTCCAACTTTTGCCTTATTCCTTTATAGTCACTAGAGGGTAGAAGAACATCATTTCTCACCACAGAAGAGAGCCCAGCTCTCGTGCTCCTGCATTAAGAGTCTCTGTAACCATCTGAAGCAGTAAAGTTTCCCAGCATGCTTTGGTGAAACCTGACAAAGCAGTATTTTCTCGTTTATTGATTCTGCTGCCGCACTAAAACACTGGTCCTGGACATCAATAACCATCTTTAGTTAGGGAGCTCTGGCCTGTGGAAGAGCGCTGGCAGTTTGTGGAAGAACATAAAGGCTAGAAAGAAAAATTGTGAGCCTGGGGAATATTGTAGCCTAGGGAGGACAGGAGAGGTTATGGAAGAATGGCCAAAGGAATGAAGAGGGAGAGAAAAAATGTTGACGGCCTGGATAAAGATATCAAAAATATGGAAGGAGCAGAGGATCCCGGAGAGCAGTATTTATATCTACACTGCAGAGTTGTGACTTCCCACTGAGTGCTGTTTTTTTGTGTTTTGTTTTTTCCCCTGTCATGGTAGTTTCTGGAATTTTGACTTCAGTGCACTGGACTCAGAGACATAATACATGCCCAAACCTTGTACCTGTGTTGAATGAAACCTTAGATGAATAGAGCTCATTGAAAGCTATTTATGATCTCATATGCGAGAAGCAATTTCTATATTGGTGAAGAATTTCAACTGTCCGGTGGACGCTTTGATACTTCCTTTGCAGTTTCGGAGAGGCCAATGGGATGGCTTCTGGCATGGCTCACGAAAACGAGTCACCTGGAAAATCTACAGAGGCTGTGATGAGCCCTGTGCAAGGCTTGTCAGAATACCCTGATCAACCTATCTGGGTATTTTAAAGCTATAGTTCTAAGCTTCTTTTTTTAGGATTTTCTATTATATTGAAAAATTAGGTAGCCGTAGTTTGACACGAAGACTATTACTTAGCTATGAGTATCTACAAATTTGCTAATTCCAAGTACTGTGTTCCCTAGAAAATGTTTTTGACTTTTTCACCTCCATTATATTCTTAGGATACTTTAAGCTTATTTAGGTAATTCGCTTCTTAAATTCATAAGTTTGTAAGTTTGCATCATCCGAGGAGCCCAGAATGGCGGAATGTTCTTAGAGGCTCTTCTGAAGTATTTTCTTACTACAGTAACCTTGCTTTTAATATACTAAATATAGACATTGCCTTCAAATATATGTTTAGGTTTTATCCACAGCCTCTGTCTATGCCGTGATGTGCATTTTAAAATGAGAATTGAGAATTTGATTTAGTAGAGCCCGAACCAAGTAACTCTTTTTTCTTTTTTTGATATTTACTGTCTGTAATCCTCACTGTGAATGTTTCTAAACCTCTTTATAATGTAGGTAACCATTATAGAGATAAAAAATTAACAGTAGTGACTTCTTTTACATCCCATAGGCCAATGAGAAAAATGCAATGATAAAAAGTGGAGTTGATCAATGACTGAGTATACTCAGAAATCTATGCACACGCGCACACACACCCACCTGCTATTCTTTGAGTGTGTACAGGTGCGATGGCTGAGCTTTAGTTATGGATTTTCTTTACTTTAGGTTAATTCGCACAGAGATAAGCATATATTCTTACATAGCCCCTCTTTTGACCCCTGTTTTATGCGGTCATATGTCAACAATCCAAGGGAAAAGACATGGCATGCCTAAGGTAAGAGATATGTCCCATTCTGGTATAACTTTTTTTTTTTCCTGTATGAAATTAGTTGACTCTTCATGCCAATTTTTGGCCTGTTTGGCTTCCTATGCTTTTATCTCTGTTCCTCTGTTGTTGCAGAGGCTGATCTTTGCAAGATATATTTTCAAGATCCCATGTCAGCCGGCCTCCAGCTGGCTTCCTACAGTGATGGGATCGGCAGGGTACAGGGGGAGAGGAGAGGGGAGAAGGTGGGTGTGTCTGCATTTTGCATCTTCCATTAACCACACCAGCTGTGGTTTCAGCTTCTACCAGGTGACCTTGACCCTAGTATTTACTATTTTTGACTCTCTGGCCGAGGTCATGGAGTGTCAGCTTGAGGGCCAAATCCAGCCCTAGGTCTGTTTTCCCAAATAAGTTTTGTTGGAACACAGCTGCATCCATGTGTGTATAAATTGTCTCTGGCTGACAGGGACAGTGTGGTGTCTTTGGAACAGAGACCCCGTAACCTACAACCCTCAGTGCTTACTGTCTGGGCATTTACAGGAAAAGGTTGCCCTCCCCTGCCCCAGCCTAAGAGTCTTGGAAACTTCCTCCTGTTGCCTGCCTTAGGCTATCCCAGTGTTCTGTCTGGTTCCTCTGCACGGAGTGCCCTGTATTTTCAGTACCTTGAATGGTTGTCTTTTCCTGTTGGATTCCACTACAAAATACAGATGGTAAGCCTACGAGCGTTTGTTTTTTTGTTTTTTTCTTTTTTGCACACTTTTTTAGTGTGCTTGCTGTGTGAGAGTCATGAATTACATGCTGAAGGTTCTGCGTGAATTTAGGTCGTGCCTGCCCCGCCTTCTGTCCCTTCTTCCACTTTCCGTTTTACTCCTTTGGCTTCTCTCACAGTCAGCAGGTGGGGCAGGCGGGCAGCCTCTCTGAAAGCCGTGGTTGGTAGACGTGTTGGGCTTTGGTCGGTCCTGAACCCCGAGTGCTGTCCTATTGCACAGACCAGAACCTCCTTGCTCTGCCTGTTTTCCAACCTTGACCTAAAGTCTTCCAGCCTCAGACTCATCACACCGTAGCCCCCGTGACAGGGTGCTGGTGCAGTCTTGAGAATATTTTGTAGACCGTGCTCTCTTGCGATGGCGCGATGTGGCACCTCTTGTCGGCTCTGACCCTTCTGATAGGCTCCTGTCCCCTGGGTGACTGGCTCTGTGGGTTAGCTGTCCTGCCAAATGAGTGACACCTGGGAAGTCGTGGCAAGAGATTGTGATTACGCTTTTGCCTTTGACTCAGTCACACAGGTTGACAGTGTTGCTTTTGCTTCCAAACACTTGGCAGAGATTTAAGAACTCCCTGCACTTACAAAGGCAGCATGTTTAGAGGGTTATTGTTTTGCTAAGGGCTTGGCCTTTGGTGCTTTGCAAATAAGGCTTTAGCACATTTAGCTGGTTTAATGTTGGGGGCTGCGGTAAATTCCTAGAAAGAGGACAGTCAAAGGCTTTGGAGGGGACGCCTTTAATCATCACACCTCTTTGTCTAATTGAACTCACGTCCCTAATTCCTGTGGAGGCCCAGGAAGCAGTGCAAGCAGGAGGCTTTTGCAAGAAGTATGGCCCTTTGAGGACCTCACTGAAGGGCATGGTGACTGGAACTCTTTTCCAAGTAATAGAGTCCTTTTTTATATGTTTGTTTTGTTCTTGTTTCTTTGCCACACATTCTTAACTCAGTGCCCAGCCATGGTAACACCGTTTTTCCATTTCATTTTCTTGGTTGTACCCAAAGGATTGCAGAATTGCATACCTATATAACAAAACAGCCGTGTACAACTGTGTACCTGTTTGTCTGTCTCTCTATATCTCTAAACTGCCTAATTAATCGACCATCCTTGCAAATCTGGGCCCCTCCTGCAGACCTCTTGAATTGGAAACTCTAGAGACGGAGCCAGCAATCCCTTGGCAAGCTCCCAGGGGAGGCCGAAGTGTGTTCAAGTGTGAGAACTGCTCGGGTGGACTAGGGTGCAAAGCGAGAGGTGAAGGGGGGCCAGCCTTGTAGGCTGGTGGCTACGCTGCTGAACAGTAGGCAGGGCTGGGATTAGGGCGAGGCAGAGAGGCACCCAGGGTACGAACCAGAGGAAGGCACTTGGGCTCGCGTCTCAACCCTGCCCTGGCAGAAGCCCAAGAGGGAGCTATGGCTTAAATTGTTTATCCCCAGAGCTTCACTCACTGCGCTGAGTCCCAGCGCTGAGTAGAACAGCACTGAAGCATCTTAAGTGAAGAAGAGACATAGAAACATGGAACACAGATGTCAAGGCTCACAGGATGGCACAGGTGAATCAAGGAAGACGAGATGATGAATATGATTGCACATGAGCCGCTAGAGATCAGGGCAAAACTGAACATCTTATTGTAGCACCTGGCCTTCATTTTATTTTTCTTTACATCTTACATACATTGGAAACATTTTCCTGGTTCCAAACCCTGAGCCAATGGGTGTTTATAGACTCTATCATTTTTAAAATACTTTTAATCTAATTTTTATTTTTAAGTACAACAATTGAGTGGTGATATTCCCTCATAATTAAAAATATATTAAACCGAATATAAGACTTTTATAGCTCGTATCTTCATACACACAGATTATTCATAGCCTTGGGACTGTGTTATTCATCTACAGATATAAATCTCATCTTCCGTGTCCATGTGGGAAATTTAAAAGGCTTTCTTTATATTCTTACGCAAGGATTTCTGTGTAGTTCTCGGGGAATTTATGCCTACAGGATCCTCTTCAGATGATATAAGGCTCTGCGGGTGGGAGGTTTTCTGGGAGCTTGTTGTATGAATGTATGGATTTTCTCATGCCACGCTGTAAAAGCTGTTGACAATGAGCAGTAGTTTTACATGTTGAAAACGCTTGAAAGGAATATTTCAGGGAAACCTTTGATAGACCTGGGGCTCTCCCTTAGCTTGTCTAAGGGGTGCCAACATAGTTGCAATCTTGCTTTACTATTCATTTTACTTACAGAGTTAATTTTTTTCATGCATTTGTTTTCATTGACTACCTACTTTCTTACAGTGATGTAGAAAAAAAATAATAAATGAGAATTAGAATAAGATGCATTGGCATCATTGGAACACGTTATATATTTCCATAACTGAGATGATATAAAAAGTACCCCTAGAGTATTTGGCACCTACGAGATATGCCTGCCTAGAAAAATCTTTTGAAAATATCTCCCTGCCCCTCTTTTTAATTTTTATCTTAAATTATTTTTTTAGTATTTTATTATGCCCAAGAGATCACTTTGAATAATTACCCCATGATATTGGTCAAGGTGTAATCCATCTTACATGCCCCAGGTATGACAATCCATTCACTGTTTTGAGAGTCTTTTCTTAGATCAGAAATTCCTGAGGATGCTCTACCTGTTGGAAATGAGCAGAAGCTCCCCAGTTTATACGTCCAGCCCACCCCCTTCTTTCATTTCATTCTTGTCTGTAAAATTGTCATGACCCAGAAGTAAATTAATAGTTTTGGAGCTGTTTCATTTGTATGAAACCCAGCACATCTCCAAGTTAGATATCATGCCTTGTTTTCACTAGTAATAACTAACGTGTGTGTTTTAGATGGAAGTCGCTCTGTTGAGAGGAACGCTGTGGATTTGGTGGGGTGAGGGAGAGCGAGCCTATGAATGAATCAACATGGAAATAGTAAAAGGTTCTGATCCTTCGGGAGGAAGGAGAAACATAACAAAACCCCGATGTACTATATTTTATCCGTTATGTCTGCTGAGAAATTAGGGTCAGGACCCAGAAACTTTGCTCTATCTCTGGGTGTTTGTTTCAGCTCAGGTGGGGTGGGCTTCTCCTTTGATGGGTCATTTCCTTTTCTCCTTTCACATTCCAAGCTGCATTAAGATGACAAATTCCCCTTCCAGGCTCAGGCACAGACATGAAAACCTGAGCTATTGAGCTAAGAGAGTGAGTGCAGAGGAGCCGATTTATTGTGGGGAGAAAGGGAGTGTTTGAAGACCACAAAAGAATTTGAGAGCCCAGCTCTGCATCAGAGCTCGCACAGAATGGCCCGGACACTGCCCCCAGCCAGACTCTGCTCTGAAACCCCATTGCACCCCTCCGTGGTGGAAGAGAAATGCTACATTAATTAAGAAACGTTTTTAAAAGCCCATGCACATCTCCCAGAATACGTTGCTAGCAGATGAAACTATTTGGACGTAACTTTATAGTGGTCTTTGCAGAAATATTTAGGGTGAAATTAGCAGACTAAAGGTTTTATGTTCTTTTCTCTCTGCAAATTGTGCAATGCATACTTCTCTTTTCCTACCCTGCCTTTAGGAAGGGGGGGGGGGATCTTGGACAGCAAAGAGCAAGTCCGTCACATCAAACATGACTGCGCTAAATGCTCAAATGTTCAAAGTCTGACTGAGATAGATAAAGGCTTTGATGGAAAGTGGATATTTCCCAGGGACATTACAAGCAATAATCCAGATGTTACGGTGTAAGGCAACGAGTGTCCACGGATAGATCAGGAGCTCCAGCCAAGCCGCGCCTGATGGAGGCCTTAGCCTCGCCCTCCCATGCTGTTCCGCCATATGGAACCTATCTCTAGTCCCCCTTAATGACCAGCTTTGGATCCCATTTTCACAGAGCTCACAGAGCTAAGTGGGGCTGTTTTATGGACAAGTTAGATAGAAGCCTTTCCAAGATAAACATCCAATTTGAAATTAGGACATACCAAGCCACAAAATTATTTTAGGGCATATTTCATAGAAGCACTGCCATTTTTCTTAGGCAATTGCCAGACTGTAGGATGCCCTTTGATCTCTTGTGGACATTACTCCCTTCTTTATAAAAAGGATTTTGAAATAGTTGCAGTGTTTAGGGAGGAATATATCTGTCGGGACTTTGAAGCATGGCCATGGGACAGGTCATGCATTAGCTTGTTGGTTGGCAAGTCAAACTTTAAGAAGAAAAAAACTAAAAAAAAAAAAAGGACATCGCAGCAGGATAGATGAATCAAAATCTCATTTTCTTTTTAAAACTAGAAGTTTTCAGCCTGTTGGCTTAATAAGCTATAAAATGTATTAAGTGTATCTATATCTATATGCATGTATTTATATAAACACATTTACACATATGTACTTATATACGTGCCTGTCTGTATGTTGTGATGGGATGTGTTCTTAACAAATAGACAATTGCTTAACTTAACTCTTTCATAAACTTTCATTATGGAGTATATTCAATCCACAACCCAACAGCAAATAGGAGTTGTAAGAGAATGTGTATGTTCTCCAGAGGAGAGGGGTTTTTTTTCTTCTTTTTAAAATTTTTTTTTTCTTATTTTCCTTCCCTTCCCTGTCTCAGCATCTCCAAAAGCTCTGTGTGTGTGTGTGTGTGTGTGTGTGTGCGCGCGCGCGCGTGCATTTTAAGGGAAAAGTGACATGGATATGAAGTTTAGGACTATAGATTTCCTTAATGTTTAAGGTGACCATAAAATGCAACCGAATGCTTGGTGTGGCATTGTTGCATCATTTATTCAGAGTGGCAGAGTGACGTGTGTTGGATGAGGTAAGCTGGTGTATAATTAATATGGTACTGACATACCATTTGTTGTGATAAATTGTGACTAACTGGTGTCCGAGCAAATTGGTGTCTAAACGATCTTGAAGATATATCGAGCAGATGACAGGAAGAATATATAGTGTTAGAAATTCATTGCTTTACTATGATACTCAGTGCCATTTACATTCTCCAGTCCATTTATTTCTCCTTCAAATAAAGCGGTCTAGGCTTGTGCCATTTCATTTATTGAACGGAGAACATAAATGAACTCCGCCAACTAAATGCAGCGTGTGCATCGTATTGGGATCCTCACTCAGACAAACTAACCATAAAAAGACATTGTGGAGACCATCAGGGAAATGTAAATATGCTCTGGGTGTTTAACGATATTAAGGGAATTACGGCTACTTTTGTTGAGCACGGTCATGGCGTGGTGCTTATGTAAAAGCAAATACGGATTTTGCTTTCTAGTCATTCAGACTGAGGAAAATAGTGAAAGGATAGATGAAAAAAGATGGGCAAAATGTTGAATGAGTTCCATGGAGATTTCATATATTATTCTACCTTTGTATGTGTTTGAAAATTTACATAATGGAAATTAAAAATAAAATGTGCTTGTCCTCTCTGTAACTTAATAATAGGAGATGTTTGCCCTTGTCTATATTCTGTTTAAGGTGTTTGTAATGGGCACAAGTAACGTAGTTTACAACTGGAAAAAAATAAGTTGACAGTTACTGAACTGTCCTAGGTTCCACGCATTGTGCTAAGTACTTTATACATCCTTTCCACCCCCAGATCTGCAGAGCTCATTTGGCTGGCTGATTGCAGGCTCTGTCTGGAGTTGTGAATCTTGCAATGGCGTGAGCTTTTTAGTCGTAGCCCAAGGAATAAAGGGAAGTGGGGACAGATTCAAGTGTGAAGGATAAATTCAAAACCATTATTTCTGAATGCCCAGAGGTATTGTTTCCCTGCAAAGCAATGCCTTGTTGCTTATATCTCTGTTTCCCAGAATTCCTTTCTTCCCTTCCTACTATTAAAATCGCCAAAGGCCCACTTGAAGGATTCCTACCCAAGAACTGAGGGGGAGGACAGGCCAGTGCCAAATGCAAGTGTTGCTCATATTCACCCTCCCCTAGATGGGCTACGAGTCCCCTGCCGGAGAGGGATCCCCGTTAACTGCGATTGCAGGTTTGCATTGCCAATGAAGAGTAATAACAGTTGCCCCAGGCAGGGAGTGCTATTTGTGATCCAATATCGAAAGCTGGAATGCCTGTGATCACCAAAGTTGTCCTTGAGAGTTATCAGCAAGTTGATCTCTCCTCTTTACTTTTTGCTCTAGTCCTCTTTGATACGCAGCCTGCGGCTCTCCGAGGCCTTGAGAAAGAACCAGCTCTGGAATGGGATTATAAGTATAACTTTGTTGGAAGGGAAGAACGTCTCAGGAGGAAACATGACAGAGATGTTCGTCCTGTTAAAACTGGGAGATCAGAAGTATAAAAGTAAGGTAAGTTCTGTCAATTCCTTAAGGAGAACAATATCTTTAAAAATGAAAAAGATCACGTTTTTGAAAAAAAATGTTTTCCCATGCTACATTTCACAAAAATAGAAGTGATTTGTTTTTAACCCTCTTCACTATATTAGGATTATTCCATAAAAAATTGTATAGATGCCATCAATTAATATGGGTATTTCATTGCTGACTATAGTTTATTTTCCTCCTGTAACTAGAGCTAGGGAAAACATTAAGCAGTAGATTTGAATGTGTGATTTTTGTTTTGAAAATAAGCAAACTAGGTTTCATAGAATGCAGGAAAATGATAACTAAATATTTTCAAAATCCAACAAATAATATATATTATATTTTGCTTACAACATTTGTGACAACTAAAAATATTTTCAAAATTATATAGTTTTTTTTTCCCTTGTTAGTATTTACGCAAAAAATTACACTTTGAGTGCTGCTGGTTTTTTGCTACAATTTAAGAAAAGAGCTCTCTGAAGTATTAAAAGTGATCTGTTTGGAACAAAAACAATGGCATTTTTAACTGTCTTTAAAAATCAGTCATCTTATTCTGTTGATCCCAATTCCATTTAATTTTTAATCTTAGTAATTTGGTGTGGTTTTTATTTCAAAAGCCATCGTCTCCAAACCATGGTAATTAATTAGTTTTACATAACTGTCAGACAGGAGTATTTTCTGTGTTTTATGGATTGAGGGAACTGGGGTACTTGAGAGTTAAATGGCTTGCCAAAAGCCACATAAGAAAAAAACATCAGTGGAAGATTTTGAAAATAGACCCGAGGATATTTGCAGCCCGGGCTTTCCCCGCATCGAAGACATAACAGATGCAGACAAGTTGGAAAATGATTTAGGGAGGCAAGAGGTTGTCTCTGTTGTACAATTTTCAGTGCAAAGTCAAACATTAAATGTCATTTACACTAGCACAAGGACTAGAAAAATCAAAGCTCGTGCTGACGAATCGTTTATTAAAAAAAACGTGAAACATTGACAGCTCGTTACGGCAGAAATACACAGATAGTTATTTTAACTAGGTAGTTTCGGGCCGTACTTCACAGAGAGCAAATCCAGGGTATCCCCACTAAGATTCCTTTCTCTGGCCAAGGTCCGGCTAAGGGTTTATAGAAAAATTATTCCTCACTAGGCACTCTCAGCCCTTCAGACTAAGGTGAAGTGTAGAATTAGTCCAGGATCTGCTGCAGTCCTCCTTGAGGGATATTGCATTTAACTTGTGGTCTAATAGGATTTTTTCTTTCTTCATGGTTTCTCAATTCTGTGATCTGATCTATTAAGTCCAGTGACGTTACGTGATGTTGACTACAGCTGAGATCTGACTTGTCCCTGTCTGTTTTCCCATGACGTAATGGTGGGCACTAAGATTTAATAGTCGCTGCTGAGTCCTTAGAGGCTGGTGCGCGGTGACCAGAATTACTGCTCACTTTTTAGCCACGAATCGAATCGCTATGTAAATGAAACAAAAACAAACATCGTGCCAGGGAATCAAACGCAAAGCAGTGTGGGACCGCTCAGAGAATACAGAAACACCTGTGGAATTGTCAAACCACGCTTATTAATTTTTGAAGTTGGCTGCTGTGGAATTTTCTAGTTTTTCTTGCACTCCAGTGACTGGAATCAGTAAACTGGGATTTAGAAACAGGCAGCAATGTACCAGTGATGGGTTTCTTGTATAATGCATCTGACAGACTTAATCAAGACTCCAGACTGTTAATTTGTATAGTTCTTAAGCCCGTGCTGAATGAATGTGTCAATAACAATGATTTTGTTAACCAATTAATAGTAGTTTCTGTATGACTGAACAACTGTCTAAAACTTCCATTGAGATATACCATATGTATGTACATATATAAATATAAAAGTTACGATTTCTTGTGGGGTAACAGTATTTTGTCTAACTTGGTGGACAAATGATTGAATCTGGGGATCTGCTAAAAGGGTGGTGATGTTTTGCCAATTCCCTAAACCTCCCAGTGCCTTTCCTTCCAAACAAGGACAGTTTAACTTTGTAAGGGACAGAAAGGCACATCGCCACCTCCTGCAGTTTAGAAATGAAATGAATGTGTAGCTGCTGTTGCAATGAATGGCATTTTGAAGACAATAAATATTATAACTGCATGTTTTCTAGACACTGTGTAAGAGTGCAAATCCGCAGTGGCGGGAAGAGTTTGACTTTCACTACTTCTCTGACAGGATGGGCATTTTGGACATTGAAGTCTGGGGAAAGGACAGCAGAAAGCACGAAGAGCGCCTGGGCACGTGAGTCTGCTCTCCTTTCTCAGTGGTGGGAGCCGCGCGAGGGGCGTTCGGCGCGTGGCTGCTCTTTCTCTTGTTGGGCTTAGAGTCAAACCTCATGCCCACCCACCCTCCCCCCCACCCCCCGCACCAGGGAGCCAGAAGCCAGCTGGACCCTAACTTGGGGAAAGTTGTTTTATCTCTTCTTTTAAATTAGTGAATGCCATGTAGTATTGATTAAAACAGAAGAAAATAGTACATGTCAGGAATTCTGCAAAGAAAGATAACACGCTATGTCAGGGTTTTGGGGAACTAGTTGTCTATATTTCCTATGTACTCCATAATTTTGCTTTCGCTAGTTAGTGAACTGCTCTATCATTTAGTAAAAACAGGTTGCTAGGTGTCCGAACATGGTGGAAAATGTTCTTGATGACCTTTGTGGCAAACTGTAATGAAATCTCTTGAGGACAGATCTCTTATTGCTTTATTTTGGGCCCTCCCGACTTAATTGATTCATCCCTGACTAACAATACTGAGTATCATTGGGACGGCAGTAACAGCGCAGTGACGTGCGATTGTGCCTCCATGGGGTCTGACTTGTACTGAGCGCAGAGGAAATGCTGGTGGAAACATCATCAACTCTGACCTTCCCAACAGCCTGTGAGTCAGCGGCGCAGTCCTCGCTTTACGGATGGCGGCGCGGGCCGGGGGGCGGGGGGCGCCACGTAGGACCCGGCCGACGCAGGCCCTGTGCTTCAGAGCAGCGAGTGTTAACATCAGGATTCCTCGTCTCCAAACTCAAGTTCTTGCCACCAATTTGCTGCCTATCGTTCATCTCCTCTACATATAAGTTGTCTACAAATCACTTTTTAAATAATTTTCTTTTCAATTACAGTTGACATGCAATGTCCTGTTAGTTTCAGAGGTACAACATAGTGATTAAACATCTACATAAGTTACAAAGTGCTCATCCTGATAGGTCTAGTACCTTTCTGTATTGGTTCACAGATCTTAAATGCAGAAAATAAGCGTTTAAAGGGCTTTCAAGAAATGTTTGTCATCTTTGTCAAACCAAGTTCTCTGGAATGCTGATTTCAGGGAGAGGCCTTGGGGTCATCCTTTGGAGATGGAAGGGGTCCCCTGAGATTCTCCCCTGGGGCCAGAGCATCTGGGCTTCCATGGGAAAGACGAGTTTTATTGCTGAAAACTAAAGATCAAAAACCACTCATCTAGTGTAAGCTCTTCATTTTACAGACAAGGAAATAGAGACCTAGGGAAGCGAAATGCTTTTCCATCAGGAAAGAATATAGAGGCAGAAATGGGTTGTGCCCCCAACTAACCCAATACCTCATGCAGGGCTTTTTTAATGTAAAATACTTAGCACAGTGTCTGGCGCCCAGACTCTCAGCACTTGCCTGCATCACTCCCCTCCCCTCCGTAGCTCGGCCTGAGGCAGGTCCCCCTACACTCTGCGGTGCTAGCAGGAGATCTAAGGGTGGTCCAGCATTTCACAGCTATTGCTGGCCCGATTTCTGGCCTGGTCTCCTTCCCCCTCCTCCACGTACTCAGGGTAACTGAGACACCTCCGACACTTCTCAGTACCTATGACACTTTTCACCACTGGGACGTACCAGGACCCTGCCAACACCCATCAGTAGGAGGATCAGAGACTGTTTTGCTAGCCCATGGAGTAAGGACAAGTTACCTCAACGTGCAGACGCAGGGAACTCTGTGTTCCGAAGTGGCATCTGAATGGTGGGAATCTGGGCCTCCGGTGATGAATGGCCTGCATGTTATTTTCGTAGGCACAAGGAAGAATGCCTTGCCACTTCGCATGTCCTTGTGCTGTCATGTTTTTTTTATTCCCCCCCACATAATAGGAAATGGTTTTCCCAATGAGTGCAAAGTTGCCTCACAGCCGCAAAAACTAATTTAAGATGTCCCGTTCATGCCTCGTTTTGTCATTTGGGAATTTATTTATTCTTTTAGCTATTTCCTGTTTGTAACTTAGAGGTATACCTGCCCTAGCGGCCATTCTGTCCTTTCTCTTCATGGATTTTAGAGCTTTTTTTGGTATCCTTTTCCTTTTTCCTCTCCTGCGGTACAAAAGATAACAAAAGTTATCTCTTGGGAGCTGGTTATTCAGCATTACCCTGCAGCGAACTTCCAGGTGGGGTGAAACCCAGCTGAAAATATAAACCGATTCCCCCAGTTAGGGAGAGATTGTGCTCGTGTGTGTATACCACGGACCTCTTCCTTACCGTTTCCTTCTTATTGTGAAATTTTCACTTTTTTTCCCCTCATTTTCTCTGTTGTTGTAATTCTAAGTCTCAGTGACTTGGTCTCCCCACTGTTGGAAATGTGTTTTTGCATTAGGGGTCCCTTTGACAGTGTGAGTGGGACCTAAGTGTCTTCTAAGGCTTCTCTGTCCCACACTTTGTTTTTGATTTTAGTAATTTAAAGCTCTAATGGCCTCTCTGAGGAAATTCATGTCAGTGAGGCCTCCCCTTGTAGGCAGTTTGGCACGAAGGAAGGAACACCAGCTTTTGAGCTGGACATCCTGAGCTTGTTGGTCGCCATAGCGTTCGTAGCTAGGTGACCTTGGGCAGTGACCTTGCTTGTGGAATCTGGTTCCCTATCTGTGTCGTGGGGCCACTGGCCAAGTGCAGGGTCATCGTGACGACCAGCCACAATGTTTACCGGATACGTAGGTCTTTTGGAGCCCTGAAATGGTAGATGTTACTATTACTATTAATCTTGAGATTTTTCTGCATGGCAACTATACTTGCTGCATTTGCAACCAAAATTATGCGATTTAAGTGCATGACCTGTGATGAGTAAGATTCAGCAGATTTTTGTTTTTGTTCCAATACAGTATAGATGTTTTTAATTTCTTTTATAGAAGCGAGCAGTGCATTTCTCCAAGGACCCGGTGGCATGGCCACTTGTTGACTGAGAGACGGAATGGTGTGAATTAATCTGTATGGTACTGGGGTTTGGAGCTGTGCGTAGAAAGCTGGAGTGCTGATCGGGTGTGTGAAGAGAAGTCACGTTGGCACTGGTGGGTGGCTAGCTTGGTGACAATGGAAACATGGATCTGCCTGTCACCCAGCCTCCTCTGGGCTCTCCTGAGTCATGGGGGGCTTTCCGAAACCCTGCTGTGTCATGGTGCACCTGCCACGTGACCCGCAGGTGACTGAGGGGGGGTCTGCGCTCGTCGCGGGTGAGATGAAGGTGCTTGGGAAGTTCCCCCTGAAACCAGATTTATTCATAGGCAGAGAAAAAAAAAGGAAGAAAGAAAGACAGTCTTTGATCCTAGCGTCCATCAGTGGTCCAGAGAGCGTGAAGTTTTAGGGGGAGTAACATCTAAAGCTAAGTTTAACCTGCTTCAACTTTTAAACAAAATGGCAAGAATGTAAATTACCAACTCTCCCATTGTAAACTGTTCCATTTCAAAAAATCACATCATTTTCTTAATGCATATTTTACATATCAAGGTGACTCTAGAGATTAACTTGTTATAGAATCTTCTACACTTCATTTAGCCTGGAAAGTTTAAGAATGAGAATGCTTAAGCCCCATTCTGGTCTGGCTGCCTCCGAGCCGGTGTCCTCAGCCCCGCAGGGTGACTTAGAGACCCTGGCCCTCTGTGCCAGTTTATTAGTGACTCCGATGCCGCGGAGAATTAGGGCTGGAATATTTCTCTGGACAAATTGCATCCCATGTCGTCGATCTGCTTTTACAGCCATGCTTGACACATTCACCGTTTTCTTCCTGTTCACCCCCTTCCTTAGCCTCTGAGATTTACAGCTTTTAAAACTATAGCACTCTTTTCTGCCCCTTGCATTTAAGTTAAAAGCTGACCAGTCTGTAATATAAAACATAGAATTATGGTAATGAATAAGAGGTTAAAAGCTATCATGGCGAGGGAAACTTGAGCAGGTTGGGCTGACTGATATGGTAAAATTATGTGTTGAATTAAAACATTAAAATGCTGGGGGATTAATGGAGAAAGACACACACAGGAGGTCAGAAACAATGCTATATCAGCACATTAACTGCCTGTTGGCGACAGAGGATAGCTTTAATATATGCCTGTTGCAGAAGGGAAAAAAAAAAGTAATTTAGCCTTGTTTTCTTCAGGTGAATAGAATCGTGGAATTTTCAGTCTGGGAGGAGCCTAGTGAAAAATATGTCTTTCCATTGCTTTCTTATATAGGGGAGGAAGTAAAGACTGCCAGAGATTTCCCTGGTTAAAAAGCAACACGGACTTTATAATTTGGATGTTTTGACTCTGAGTTTTGTTACACCACTGGAATTTATTTTATTGCTTGTTCATCTTGTTCCACAAATAGAGAGCCCATTGCGGGTCAGACAACTTGCAAAGTGCTCAGGGTTGGGTAGCACATGACATGGGTGTGGATCCTGTCATGGATCCTTTTGGGCTGCACAGGTAAGCATGCAGTGGCTCGGCGGTGGGAAGAGCTGACCTTTTGGAAGAAAGAGGTTTAAGCTGATAGGAGGTCATTAGCTCAGCAAGGAGATGGGAGAAGAACTTTCCAGAAAGAAACGTGGGACAACATGGGCAAAGGCCTAGCGAGGAGGGGCACACATTGTAAGACACGCGGAAGGGATGGGAAGGGTGGGTGGCGTCCCTAGACAAGACTGGAGAAGGCAGGAGTGAGGTCTCAGGACCACTGGCTTCTGTCTCCTGCAGGTGAGCTGTGACCGCTCCTCTCTAGGCACAAACTCACTGGTGACTCCGCTATTTTTTTTTCGCTCCGTAATGTAAAGCTTGTTATTATAGTGGAGCTGTCATTGACTAAAGATGCTAAGATCTGACTTTGGAACAAGAGTTTCTTGGTCACTTAAGGACCAGTGTTTAGCACCTTCTGAATGACCGTCAAACGTGGTCATCACACTTGCATTGTGAACTCACATGCGACGCCCCGGAGCAGACCTAATTTGCCAATGCTAATTAATCACAGTTTTTACGTTGATGCTCTGAGCACGTGTTTTCCAGATCCATCTTTCAGGTAGAAAAGCAATGTTGTAAGTTTTATTGCTTTATCATGTTTTGTTTACATACACATTTGGATACGTTGGTCAGAATTTCTTGGGCCATGGGGAGTTAAAAGATATTTTTAAAAAATTATTCTTAGGTCAATATCTCTGATACCTTTATCATTATGTTTGTTCTATCAGCAACCAATCTTGTAAATATTTAAAATACTTTCAGTGGTTATAATTCAGCACAGCTAAATTATTAGCATTTTTCTGGGGACGGCATCAGCAAACTAGGGCCCACGGGCCACATCCAGATGGCTCCCTGTTTTGTGAATAAAGTTTTATTGGAAAACAGCAGTCATTCATTTGTTTGTGTTGTCTATTACTGCTTTCATGCTACATGCAGAGGGTTGAGTAGTTGCAGCAAAGACCAGGGTGCTGAGACCCATCAATTTAATTTGCTCCTTCAAGTCACTAAGAAATTAAAGCACGTATTTGGCTGAAATCACTCATTAGTTAACTGAGGCTGTAAATTCCATTCAGTTTGTGATGAAACCTCCAATCTGTCATATATAGGGCTCTTTTATCTGTAAAATAAGCAGGGCTCAGATGTTTTCTCTTCATTATCTGAATAATCTTTAAGGCAGGTACAAAGTCTCCCAGTGGATGGAAATAACTGAAAGTTCATGAAAATGTGTAATTTCTGAGAAGAAACTCAGATTTGCTTTGCATTTTGTCTGGGGCATGATTTAGCATTTGTTTAAAATAAGAAACTGCTCTGTTCAAGTAAGTTGTGGCTTTAAACAATCACTAGGAGAGTTGGCAAAGTTATTGTAAATATGCTAATATGGCCCACAGTCTTTTTAGGTGACTTTTTAGGATTAATGTCATGTCCATCTTGAATTATTTACAAAAATTTCTATTATTGCCTCATTATGCATCATTTTGACTTGCATACATTAGTTGCTCTCTGAGCTTTTATTTCTAAGTAACTTTTGATTGTTAAAACCCAACAAAACCACCACCATAATAAAATGGTAGGCTTAGGACATAAATAAATTTCCATTATTACTGATATTAAAGTGAATGTGCCATAAATAAGTTATTGCTAATTTGGGGGAAAGAGAGTGATCACTAGAGAAAATTCTCACAATTTGGATTCTTCATTTTTCCATAAGAAAGAGTTTTATTAAATGAAAGCATCTGTGAAAACGTAAAATAATGTTCAGCCAAGTATTCCTGCCAGGTGTACTACTGCTGTATTAGTTAAGAATTTGTGGGTACTTAGTTTTGTAGAAATGGTAAAGTTAAAGAAGTTGAACTTCCTTTCCAAGCAAAATTAATTCTCCACTTACATGCTTGCTTATTAAATAAAAATAGTTTGTAACCCCCTTTTTCACAATAGTAACTTTAAGTAAGTTCCAGAAAAAAAAATTGTTATGATTCAAATCATAGAGAATTATGTAAAAAGACATACCTTTTTGTAATGAGTCTTCAGTAGAAATACATGATAAATTTATTACATGTAGAAACTCTAATTGCCACATCTTCTCATAACCAGAATCACTTGTGTTAATTAAAAATTACCCACATATATTTAATTTTATACATACATGTCAGTATTCAAATATTTTTTTTATTCTCTAGTAAAAAAATGATATAGACTTTCACTACTACTGATATTTTTCCTTTTAATTGGAAAAGGATTATAAACTTACTTTCAAATTTATTAAACTGGACTTTTTGCATCTCCATGTGGCTCAAAATTGGCATTGCTTTATAATCTATTGGTAAGTTTACTATTTCTGATTATCTTGCATGTGTACAAAGTCCACTGAAAATTTAGGGTAAGAATCCATCCTTGTCATACATTATGAGAAGGGATAGGGTGTTCATCCTTTTATAAAGTTGTAAATATTATCTGATTTAATAACTTTGGAGGGCAAGGGAGAATTACACACACACACACCCCGCCCCCCACCCCTTTTATGCATGAACAAAGCAGGTGTGGTCCAGGCAAATCCAGAGTTTTCAGTGTTAAGGCAAATAAGTACTTAGCACCTCAGCCCCCCTTTTTGGTGTTTGCTTCTGTATTTAAATGTGTTTGAGGTTTTCAACATCCCTGGAACATTGGCTGTTAAGAGGCGGAAAACATACAATTTATAGCAGATGGGGACAGCCTTTCCTAGCAGTGCCGCCAAAGTGGGATCCATCAACAGCACTTCATGCTCCATTTGTCCAAAAAGAAATCCACCCGGGGAAACCCAATGGAATGGGGCCTATTAGGAAAACACCTTAACATGTTTCTTTAAATAAAAACTCACCAGTTGGCATTAGTCTGGAAGAAAATGGTTTTTTCATTAACCCTCTCCCACCTTCATTTCTCTTGTCTTTTCTAATTTTTTTTTTTTTTACCTTTATTCTCTTTGCTGGAAAAAGGCACAGTGCAGAGAAACCATATAGAGCCATAATGCTTAAACCTGGAAACTTTTTTCTCCCTAATTCTTTAAAGTTAGAGTTGTTAATTAATTTTTTATTAATTTTTTGGCAGAGAAAAGGAGGGAGGGGAAAGTGGATGGGGGGGAAAGAGAGAGAGAGAGAGGGACAGAGAAAGAGAAACACTGATTTTTTGGTCTGCTTATTGCTGCATTCATTGGTTGATTCTTCTACGTGTCCTGACCAGGGATCAAACCCGCAACCTTGGCCTCTGTGGACAGTGCTCTGACCAACTGAGCTACCTGGCCAGGGCTTCTTCCTAATTCTCGATCTCATTGTCTTTCAACAGTGCTTATTTGTCAAGGCTCTGACTCTGCTTTTTATTTGCAAATTCATTTTTTTAACCTCTTCTCCATTATAGAATGTGTTAGGCTGGGAGTACTATGAGCCAGGGAGCCCCTGCAACCGTCTCTGCCCAATAAACCCGTGCCCAGTGTGGTTCGGGGGTGAGAAATAAACGTGGGTGCTTTGGAGGATCCGAAGTGGCCGTGGGTGAATCACTTTTCTTTCTCTGATGTCTCCTTTCACAGCTGCAAGGTGGATATCGCGGCTCTGCCACTCAAGCAGTCGAACTGCTTGGAGCTGCCTCTGGACAGCTGCCTAGGCGCTCTCCTAATGCTGATCACGCTCACGCCCAGTGTGGGAGTCTCTGTCTCAGACCTGTGTGTGTGCCCCTTGGCGGACCCCAGCGAGAGAAAGCAGATGGACCAGCGCTATGTGAGTGCTTTGCCTTGGGACACTGTCCCCACTCCCCCCCGCCACTTTTAAGTTGCGCCAAGGTCTGTGAATTGAGAAACTGCGTAAAAAGCGATTTTTGTCCGAAGTTTCAGGGTATGTCTCATAAAACAAGATGTGAGATCTAGAGGTTAAGGCATCCGTGAGAAGGTAGAAGCAGATTAGCGTTTACCTTCTTGCTATTTTACAAGCCAACAAAAAGCATTTCGCCTTTGTAGTTTTAGGTACTTTTTGGAGAAAACGGAAGTTCTCCAGGAGGCCAACTGTTGTTTAGCATGCCTGCATATGTGAATAGAAATTTTAATGGAAGTTCACAAAAGGAGTTGTTTTTAAACCATTCATGTTTGTTATAGATGCTTTTCCAGAACCTTTTAGGTTCAAGGGAGAAAGTGCTTGTGTCTTTATAAAGCAAAGCTGGGCCCTTGATAGGCAGAGATGACGGTGGTCCTATCCCACTCGGGATAATATTGGCAGGTGCGATTTTTGTCTGAGTAATGCGATGTGCTTAAAAGTCCACTCAGCACTTTTAAATCAAATGCCTTTGTCCACCTCACTTATTTTTTTCTACTCTGGCTTTCTAGGTGTCTTTATTTGCATTCCGTTTTTATCACATCTTCTGTGCAGATCAATATGTTTATTTTATTGCCACACATGAAAGACATGCTTTAGGAACGTGGCATAAAAATGAAGCAAAGATGAATCTTTATTTAATGGGAATATTATTCTCAGCATAAACTGTAGTGCCTCCAAAGCTTTCACTGGGCAGGTGTATTGATTGAGAAATTCTTTATCTTCAGGAGTACGGAACCTAGCCAGACATCTTATTGTTAACACAAATTCTACATGTGAAGTTCGCATACTCCAAAGATGTTTCGGCAGAATCCACTGTTCATACTTTTCTGATGGCTTTAGTTAAGCAAATGAAAAGTTGATGGAGAGAAATGAACCTTCTCTCCACATTTTCCAATGGATAAATTGGAAATTTTACCAAGTTCACTAGGGGTGTCATATATTTGTAAAGTGACACTAGAAAAGATCATGGTGACTGCTCTCAATAATGCCTCGGGATTTGCAGAGAACTATTTGAAAAGGGATTTGAAAAGACTAATCAAAATAGAAATATCAAGTGTTTTTCAGGTAGCAAGCTGGCCAGCATGTTAAGAGGGAAACACTATATTACAAGACCCAAGTTTCAGATCCCTGGATTTGTTTTGTAGGTTGTAAGGATAGACAATCTTTAAAGACTTTTCCACCTCTAAATTATTTTTAAGTAAATTATTACTTAAGTAATTATTATTAAGTGAAAAAATATTTTACTTAAAATGTTTTCATTTAAACTTAAATGAAATTTAGTTTTTTTGTTGTGGTTGTTATTTTTTAGGTTGAAAATACAGAGCAGAAACAACTTGTCAAAAGTTCTTAAGAATGGTGCATATTAGGTTAAGCAAATCTTAATGATCCTGAAACTTTTATTATTTTGCCCCGAAATGCCTCAGTAATAAGGATTTTTCTATCTTTTCTTAAATCCCCAGGGTCTGCTTATCACAGGCTTTTAGTTATTTAATGATGGCAGAAAAGCTGTATCCAAAGTGTCATCTTTTTTAGTGCATGTGTTTTGAAAGCATGTGTTCTAAACAGAGTTTATCTGCTTATATCTCTAGTATGTCAGTTTTTGAAGGATACAAAATACATAGATATCTAAAGATTGCTATACATGCGTAAGAGTTAGTAGATATATTGAATATATATTTACTAATTCAATATGTTAGTAGATATACAGGGTGGGGCAAAAGTAGGTTTACAGTTCATAGTGAAAATAATACAATAACTAATAAATAGTAGTAAAGGAATTAACTGTTTTGCGTACTGACAACTGTAAACCTACTTTGCCCCACCCTGTATTGAAGCTTTGGCTCATGCAAACTAAACATTAAAATAAATGTAAGTACAGGGTGATACTTGATGCTCAGTCTCCAATTTAATGAGCTAGCTCAAGCATGGACCAGAAAATTCACTCTTATTTCCATCCCTACTCTCTTTCCAGTGCTAATAAGTATCTACAGAGGGTCCAAGTTCAGTCCTCTGGTATCCATAAAGTTTGCACAAACTAGGTCAGAATAATGGTGCCTTTCTGGGTGATTTAAAAGTTTCATTAAAGTGAAAGAAGGGGAAAAGGAGAATGAATGTGGTTCCACACATATTTTCCCGGTGGGATGTCTGTGCTTTCACCAGGGGGCGATGCTAAAAGTTGATTGTATGTGTTTGTAATGTGTTCATTTTGAAGCTGTAGTTAATTAATTCTCAGTCACTTTTAATCTGGTTGTCGTCAAAACCTAACTGTCCTATTGACTGATATGATGCATTTCGCGACGTTTCTAAGCATTACATGAGAAAGGTGATGACCGGTCCTGAATGTTCTTCCTCTAGGACTTCATGTCATTAAGTGGTATATTAGAAAGATGTCTTTATTTGTGGTCCATGTTTCTCCCCCTCAGAGCTTACAGAACTCCCTGAGAGACATGAAGGACATCGGCATTTTACAAGTGAAGGTTTTAAAGGCAGTAGACCTCTTAGCTGCAGACTTCTCAGGTATAAAACATCTCATTCATTTTTTTTATTTGTATTTATCTCCCTCTTTGACGTGATGTATGGCAAAGCAAAATGTTTTAATAAGGAGATGCATGTACACAGCAATCATACTCTACCGAATGGAGCAGCTATTTTCAACCTTTTTGGTCTCATGATACGCATAGCTAATCACTAAAATTCTGCAGCACACCAAAAAATATGTTATATTTTTGCCAGTGTGACAAAAAAATAGGTATAATTTTGATTGATTTACCTACGGTTTTTGCTCCCAAGTGACTTTTTAAAAAATTAGACACCTATACTTATGTGTGAGGGTTTCTGGTATGAAGAATCAACCAATCAGACACAATCTTATTATGTGTATAAAACGGCATCAACTGCAAAGCAGTCCCATGGCCAAGATTTTGGGTCACTGTTACAGAGAATTGCCGCCAAATCAGCTTCCAGACTCAGCCTTTACAGCTGACACTGTTTTCTATGAAGTTTCTCTTGGCGCCTCACTAACTTGGACTTTTATTTTTTATCTTTTATTTCTTTAATTGTCGTTCAATTGCAGTTGTCCTTATAGACACTGGCTAGAGTATTCATGCTTTGTGCTGAATTATGCTTGACTGTAAGGAGAGAAATTGGGATTTTCCAATGTCTGATTGGCAGGGGACTCTCCTCTCATTGCCAACCCCCCCCCCCCCCCCCGACCTGCCCCCTGCCCGGTACCAACTAACAGCTTAGACACCTACATCACAGGTGTTTTTTACCAAGTAAATTGATGAATACAAGGACTATTATACAGCATGGTTATGTTGACATGGCATTGTGTGGTTATTTTTTTATCTCATATTTTTAGAATGCAATGTTCTCTCTTCCTCCAGCAGACACAATTACACTGAATTTGTGTAACCTCTGAACTTTTGATACTGGGTCTGAGGAGGTTCAAACTTTGGAGAACAGAAATTTAATTTTAAGCCCTTTACATTACAAAAATGATGGAAAATTTAATTTTAAGAAAAAAGTTCTCCCTCTCCCTCAGAAAGTAAAACTATGGGGAAGGCAGAGACAAATGTATTTGGAAAAGTAAATAAATTAATTAAAAAAAAAAGAAAGTAAAACTATGGAAATTACTATTCAGTAATCCCCAAATAAGATGCTCTTGATCTTGAAGAACTACCCAGTGAGAAATCCAAAAAATTTTTTTGGCCAATTACAAATGTACAATTTCTCGGGGTTGTAGATAAAACACTGAAATGATTACTATTGTCATTAATTAGCTGAAAATGTTTATAATATATTGATTTATGAAAACACTTAATTCAAACATTTCTCATGTCCCTTTGGTGTTAGTAATTTTGTCATCACTAGAACATATTTAGAGTTATCTTCCAGTTTTACAGAGCAAACTATTTTTACTTCCATCTATGTAGATACAGTACTTTGTAAACCTACCATTGTTGATATCTCATGATATTTTGTCTCAAGTCTATTATCTATCTAGCCTGTTAATAAATTGAAGGTTCTGGTCGATCCCTATCTCATTAAGGAGGACCCACCCATTTCTGCTAGCCAAATCAGCCCCCTCCTAAACCTTGCTTAAAATTTACCTCCATGGTGAATTCTTTGTGGACTTGAACCAACCAAATTTAATTTCCTTGAACCTGAGTTTCCTTTCCTTGCATCAACATTCCTTACCGTCAAGAGGATTAAATGAGAACCCGCATACAGCGTGGTTTCCTGCACAGAGTGGAAGGATCATGGCTCCCTCCAGCCAACACCCGTCCCCAGGACCCAGGAATGTCCCTGCGGACGGCACTCCTCACAGGGACATGCATATGTTGGGTTTTCCTGCATTGGGCCCCTTCAATAAAATATACGGCTGGATATGGAACAGAAACACACAGATGTGGAATGTAAGAGATATAAGGAAATATACAGACAGCGATCAAACACTCAGTCTACTGGCAGGGAACATGAGGGAAGTTTTCATGGAAAAGGTGACATTTGCTACAAAAGCAGAGATTATTATGAGAGTTCCATAAAGGTAATGACCTGGTGGCGTGTGTCCATCAGGGCCTGGTCCAGTGCCAGGCGCAGAGTGCACGCTTAATAAATACCGGCCAGATGAACGCTATGACCTCTAAAATGCACTTATTACTTGTCATTCAACTTCTGTAACTCATATAAAGGTAAAATTATTTAAATGAGAAGCCTCTATTTGCCGTTCAAGGAATGTAAATGGATTTTAAAGTGGTGTCGGAAGTAGCAAAAGCTATTGAGCGCAAGGTGCTAAAACACCGTGAAACTCAATCGCCAACGGTGTGAGTGTGAAGGTGACATGGCTTCCGGAAGTAGAAGAGGTCATCGAGATGTTTTACCTGCCCAGATAGGTGGAGCAAAGAGGCAAAGTCCAGACCCACGCGTGTCTATGTCAGTTCGCCTGGGGGTGTTTGCTTGGTACCACTGGGGAACTTTCGGGCATTCCATTTATTTGGGAAATCATTGCTAGCCCAAGTAAAAATATTTGTTGTTTAAATTTTATGGAAATGCCCTATATATTTGGAGCCTTTTCAGGGAAAGAAATCAATTCATAAAATATCTATAAAGTACTCCGTAAATGCCTAAATGTCTTTGCTCCTCCTCCCCCCTCTCTGGCTGTTTATTCTGTGATATTAATAAATGCGGCATTTTAATGAGCTTTGACGGAATCATCTTCAGAGACTTGGTGCTGGGTGTTCCGTGGAGACATGTAGCTGAAGTTCACAGTTTCTGGAAGGACGTCTGTTCCTCATTAGCTGGGACAGCTGAGTGCGCAGGGGGCCACCGCTCGCGGCCACCTGTGGCTATGCACCACCGCCCCACTGCGGAGTAACCACAGGGCTTTCATTAAAATTGTCAGACGGTTTCCCTGGAGCAAGCGCTGATGAAACGTCACGTTGGTGTCTCAAGAGGAGCAGCGCTGACGCCTACTAACAGTCCCTGACAAACAGTTAAGGAGCTGTTGCAGCTTGGGCTGAGGAATCCGGCGGCGTCCACCTGAGCATCAAGCTGAGAGCATGCGCCCTCATACTCACGGCCGTTGAAGAGACAGCATGTTCTTTAACCCCGGCAGGTTCTGCCCCACCCCGTGCCCTACAAATCAGTCCCAGAGTAAAGTGGCCTTTATGGAAACACCACTTTTGGAGATGCGTTTTGGTGTCGTTTGGATTTGGGCTGTCTAACATCCGAAACCCGCTTTTAGGATGGGGCGGTGCCCATGGTATGTTTTGGAGCAAGACTCAGAGCCCACTTTCATGCATGGAAGCTAAAAAGCCAGCCCTCCCTTTCCTAGCCCTGGCAGCCACGGCGTGGGTCCCGGGCTAGGCAGCAGCAATCAGATACTTCCTCTGAGGCCTTGACACCTCCTCAAGTGAGGCGGAAGCAGAAGCGGAGAATCCATATTGGAGGCGGCCATTCTCAGTGTCTGGGGACAGGCTTGCCAATGGGGACTGTTTTCCTGGGAAGCAGAGGCCACACCAGACATTTCCTGGTGTGAGATACTGACTGGGATTCTTGTGCCTGTGTCTTCCTGAGTATTCCTTGGTTTCTGGTGCTTTCTCAAGCCAGATTTGGCAATGTTTGCAATGATTCTGAGAGCCATTTACTATTATTTTAATAAATGCATTTTCTTGCTGCTTTTACCCAGGGGCCATTTTTATTGTTTGTAACTGACAACTTGAACTCATTCATTTATGGCCGTGGCTTGACCACTGGCTACTGATCCTAACATTGACTTAAAAGCTCTGGCCAGGCCTCTACGTGTCCAGGCTTCTAGTCAGTTGTATGGAATCTCCTGCTTCATACTGACCCTTAGCCATGCATCTGCTCTTCTTCTCTCTTTCTTTCTCTCTTTTTTAAAAAAAAATGTAATCTTCATGCAGCCTCCTGCGCATTCCAGTCTCTCTCTTGATGTGCAGTATCTTCTGGTTATTAAGGGAATTAGATGTCAGTTCAGTGACCTGAATGGTAGGCCAGCAGGTCAAGAGGCCTGAGCACTCTCTGCATTAGGCCCTGGCCTGGGTTTCCACGGCCATTTGTTGGAAGAGTGTCTGTCCTTATGCCCCCAATTAATTTCGTACACGCTGCTTTGTAAGTTGCCAGCGTGCTGCAATGGCACGCAATGTGTTCACGTCGTATGGACGTTACAGAGCCATTTATTCTTTCCCTGACAGTTGCAGTTCTAGATCCTCCTGGCAAACCCACCAAAAGGGGAGAGAATTTTTACATGGTAACTTCCTGAGTCCAGTTTTGGGTTTTGGATTTTCTAAGCCCCTTTTATTTTTTCCGTTTTGGAAGCTGTGTGAGATCAGATTACCAAAAAAAAAAAAAAGTGAGGTGGGAGAAGTAAGAGTTAAACTTTTTTTTTTTTTTTAAAGATAAAAACTTTGGACTGACATTTTGGAATTATACTTTTGTGTGTTTATGAGCACCAAAAATGTAGCATGTGTTCTCACAATGTACTGAACATACAGGATCATACATGTTTGTGGCCACTCACTCCAACACAGTTTTAACTCCTGAATAACCATGTTTATATTTTTCCTCACCTCTCACACCATGCGCAAGCCTATAAGGTATCTTAAGCTTCGAGCTACAGAAGAGTCACGGTCTGTGTTAAAGACCATCTAGGAAGGAAACAGAGATGAGCTTCTGTTTTAAAACACAACATGAAAGTGTACGTTCACACGTGACAAACGAACACCTGTTCCTGTGACCCGTGTGTGGTCATGGGAGCTCAAGGCTGCACCGGGGCTGAGTGTCAGTCCCAGCGTGTTCATGAGGTTAAAGTTTCAACACTTGCAAGACCTGTACATCTCCCCGCTTCCCACCCAAGGCTTCCACGTGGCTTGGTGGAAAGAGGGGCTCACCTTCGTTCTTTCAGCCCTCAGAGTTCTGTTGTCAGAGAAGCTCATGGCCTCCTCGTGGCCTTTGTCCCTCGCTTCTGAGATTCCTTTGTCTCTGACCAATGCCTGTGTTCTCTTTGCAGGGAAGAGTGATCCTTTTTGCTTGTTGGAGTTAGGCAATGACCGACTTCAGACGCATACCATTTACAAAACCCTCAACCCCGAGTGGAACAAGGTTTTTACATTGTAAGTGCTTTAGCTTCTGGAATATGCGGGGCGTGGGGTGGGGGGTGGCTTTTACTTGGAGACCGATTTTCCCTGATATGTTTGGGGCAGCCTGGAGCTCTTGAGTGGAACTTTCTGTCCATTTTTTATGTGCCAAAAATGAATTTTATTGTTTTTTCCTTCTGAAAACCTTTTATCCTTTCATTTGTATGGGCTTTAGCGTTAATAATAGAAGAGACCATTTGGAACTGCACGGGGGTGGTAAAGGAGGCGTATAAAGTCAGTCTTTTAGGGACTAAATTAATCTGTGAGTGAATGGAAGCTTCCCTGTATCCAGACGAATTCATTCCTGGGTTAAAGAAAATTACAAATGCAGACCTGCCTGCAATTCAAGGAGCTTATATGTTACATCATTATTTTAATGCCTGAAGACTTGTATTCTGTCAGAGTCTTTGGAAAGAAAAAAAGACAGGTAATCTGTGATTCCTCCAAGACTCCCAGAGGCTCCTTGTGTGCCAGCTGATATGAATGACCTGGGCCTCGATCATGCCCTGTCCACTTCCAAACTCAGGCACTTAGGAGGCTAAGTATATTTCCTAGTTTGCTTTGCATTCCGAGGCACCTGACCATCAAGGGCTGGCCCCTGTTGAATTGGGGCGAAGTAAATGGCGGTGTACCGTCTTCACAAGACGGGGGAAGTGCTCTGCCTGTGCTTCTAGCTGAAAGAGTACAGTTCATTTTCAGTGGTGCTAATGGTTCCCGAGTACGTAGTTCCCAGTGATCCGAGAAGTGGGTGAATTCTGCTAAGCAGGTTTGCAAATGGCCTCACGCAGGGGTCTCTTGTTTGCTGACGGCCTTGCCAAGGACCACGGCTCCAGTTTTCACTGTAACTGATCTTAGGCTTCTGGTCAACATAACAAAGGTTTCTAAATAGGATGGGATTTTTCAAATGTTGCATTTCAATAATAGGAAGCTTTGCATGGACCTCAGCAAATAGTGATTTTGACCACTTTTTCTTTTTTTGAAGTAGATTTTTCATTAATTTAAATGCAATCTTATTTTTGCTCTTCTCACTCGGAAGCTACTTGGAAATCACTCTCCTTCTACTCTCCTCATTCTGTCTCCCATTCTTGCTTCCTCCTGTTTCTTTAAGAGTCCTATTCTTGAGTGCACATAGACATGGAAAATGTCGCGGAGTAAAAAAAGTTGACTTTTTTATATGGATGACTGAATCTTCTATGATGGAAGGTTTGGGAATATAGTCAGTTTGATTTAATTTTTGGAATTTAATTAAATGGTACTTTTATACTCTAAGGACATACAGACTTAATTAGTGAAACCGTGTTTTCAGATATTCACGGTAAAGACTTCATGTGTGTGTTTTTGTATATAATACATGGTGTGTTTCTTGTTGCAGTCCCATTAAAGATATCCACGATGTTTTGGAAGTGACAGTGTTTGATGAAGATGGAGATAAACCCCCTGATTTTCTTGGAAAAGTTTCCATTCCTCTGCTGTCTGTAAGTTACATTTGTTAATACACGGTGTGTGAGTCATTTTATAGTTGACAAGTTTCTGTGGTCTAGTGTTGCTTTATCTTTGTCAACCTGGGTAAAAAATACTCCTTCCAGCTCTGGCAAGAAACAGCTGTTTTAGTCCTTATCCTTATCAAGTATTTTCAGTAGTTTCAGATATGAACTAATATAATTTTCTGTGTCTGCCGAATATGATTGAACCAACCAAAACATTTTGACCAGTCATTTAATTCACTCTCAATTTTTCCATCGTAAGATGGGAGTTTCTCTTTGGTTTCGAGAAATACGTCTCTATGACTGATTTTCTGTTTGTTAATAAAAACATATTTGTATTTCTGTATTACCTTCATACTACCCATTTCTTCAAAGATGAATTGCTGGTAACCGCACAGTTGTTCTCAGTTCTACTAAAGATCATTTTCTCAAAAGTTCTATTTGTCTTTTTAGTAGTCATGTTTGCTTTCAGACTCAAAAAATGCTTTGTAGAAGAAAGCAGACGGCCTCTCTTGGAAAAAGAGGGCTGTTTCCAAAGTCCAGTGAAAAACCAGCCTGCCAGAGTAAGCCAAGAGCCAGGAGCGAGGGGTGAGGGAGCAGAGGAGGACAAAACGGGGAAAACTGGGACAATTGTAATAGAATAAACAAGAATAAAAAAATCACAAAACCTTAAAAAAAAAAGAAAAATACCCTATAAAATTCAGAGGAAAAAGCACCAGATAATGACCTTACCCGGGCAAAGGAGGAACATTTGGATCTGCGTTCACCTGTTAATTGGACATTAATGTTCCTACTTCCTACTTTTCTAGAAGACAGAATTTCAGCTTTTCATCTAGTCATTAATATAATTTGTTGTAGCCTCCTTATGGTCTTACCAGTCAATAAGGCTTTATTTATTCCCTCCCAAAGATGTATTGTTCCAAAGCTATTAGTACATTATCACGACTGGAACAGTCTGTAATTTAACCACGAGATTAGGCCAGCTCACTGATTTTTACAGGGGGGCGATGCTGGGCCTCTCCGTATCTCTTCTGGTTTTGATCGCTTGGTTAATTTCTCCCCAAGTTCTCATAGCCCTGATGTTGCTTGAAGAGAGCAGCGAAGCAGCTGCTCCTCTGTGGAGCCCGCCCCTGCCAAATGCTCCGAGCCACCAGCAGCAGGCCCCGCCGGCTCAGGGAGGAGAGGCTAATTTGGGATTTCCTCCTTTTTTTATTACAACTTTGTCAGTTATTCCTCAAAGAATACATGTAGCAGGAACATGGAGCACAATTTTAGAGCGGTCTAAAGGGATGAGAAACAAAGCCTGTCCTTTCCACTTGTTTCCTTTTTCTCTCCAACATGCATTTTTGACATTTCTCACCTTGTTTTTGTAGGTAACTCGTTAGTAGCATATTTTATTCCTTGCTGGGCAAACACTACTCCGTATTTTTTTTTTTTTAGCCTCTTTCTGTTTTGCCTATAAAAACCTCATGTATTCGGTCTTTCTATAAGACCAACAAGTTGACCGACTCTCCCTCTCTTCCTTTGTGCAATATCTATGTGCGGTTGACTTGGATCTAAGAAGTTACCTCTGGCTACTTCAGGTTTGGGGTTTCCCAGCCTTAGCGCTATTGTCGTGTTTGGATAGATCATTCCCTGTTTCAGGCCTGTCCTAGGCATTGTAGGATGCTGAGCATCATTCCTGACCTCTACCCACTAGAGGTCAGTAGCATCCACCCACCTGCCGCTGTTGTGACAATCAAAGATGGCTGCAGACGGTGCCAAAAGTTCTGAGGGAGGCAAAGCCCCCTAGTGGAGAACCACTGGCCTAAATTCATGCAGTGTTCAAACTCTGCCCTTTAAAATATGCGATATTATAGAATGGTTTATGAAAAACTTGGTTTAAATTCAAGCAGTTCCCAGCCCCCAGGTTGCTAATAAGCTGACCCACAATCCATGCGTTCATTTTGTTTGATAAGTATCTATCCAGAGTCCAGTTTGTGCCAGACTGTGTCTTTAGATCATAACACTCTAACAGCAATGACAGTAAAGCTGTCTCCTCTCTTGGAACTTGATTTTTGCTGCGGGAGACTACAAACCAAAACCAAAACCAAAACCAAGCAAGCAAACAAAACCCCCAAACCAACAGACAGTACGTAAGATGCTATGTAGAACGTAAAGCAGGGGATGGGATCGCCACGGATGTATGTGCGAGGCGGGGGTGCCGTCTGTCATGCGCTGGCCAGGGACAGCCTCTCTGAGAAGGGGCCACTTGAGGGAGAACGTAAGGAGGTAAAAGAGAAAGCCATCTGGATGTCTGGAGAAACTCTTCCAGATGGGAAGTCTTCAAGTTCAAAGGCTCCAGTTTACGGCTTTGACTGTCAAATTCCAGAAATCGCATGGCGGACAGCGTGGATGGGATGGAGCAAGCTGGGAGGGGGATTGTGGACAGGGAGCAAGAAAGGACGCAGAGATGGGGCGGCCGGGGAGAGGGCTGTGGAAGCTCTGGTAGCCTGAAGCTGGGAAGACGTGGGCCCCTCTTTAGTGATGAGGGAAAACCACTTGAGGTTTTAAGCCATGCAGGGCTTGATTTGATTTGCCTTGTTTGTTGCAAATATCACAGGACTGGGGCGCATGGAGAAATCAGCCCAGATCTGGAAGGCCTCTAGTGGGAAAGGCAGCGTGGCCTGAGCCACGTTTCCTCTTGAGGACTTTGGGGGCCCAGGGATGTTGAGCTGAGTAAGATGCTATTGTTCAGTGTGGCTGTTTCAGGTTGGTTTCCGATTCCTTGACTAGTACTTTAAAAGAGTGATCAGCTCTTTCAGAGGATCTATGGGGGCTTTTCCCACAGCATGAACTCCCCAGATGAACTGATTCTGGACCTAACGTGTAGATGTAATTGCAATTTAAAAAATGCCAAAGTGCTAAGTATCTAAAACAGAAAGAATTTTAGGTCGATCATTTGAAATTCACAGAATTCTAGCTTGTGATTTAGAGGGTATTTTAAAATTTACTTACTTAGATCTAGGTTTTCAAAAATTTATTATCTATTGACTAATGCTTAACTAGCAAACCCTGCATTGTGCACTGATCACACACTAAATCACAAATTCTCTGACATCTTAAGGAGGTGTGTTTTATTATTATGACCATTTACAAATGAGGCAACCGAGGCCCAAAATTCTCTGGGTAATAGGGGCTGGAACTGGATTAGGCAGTGCGCTCTCGGCCGCAGCTCCTAAGAGGATGCTATCCCACTGTATTAAGAAAATACTGGTTGAAACTTCAGGAATAAGCATTAGAAAGATAACTCATAGATTGTGTGTTCTATGCCTTTTAGAGGAAAGATTTACTTTTCTGCTTGTTTAATATGAGAGAAAATCATAAAAACGGATTCATTAGTGCTTCAGTATTACATCTAGAGGATGTGGAACCGTATCTGATTATATCTTACTTTATATTTAAAAACAGAAATTATATTTCTTGGAGAAGAGTATGAATAATTTTTGTGAGTCTACATTTTAAAAATCAAGTCATAAACTAAAACTCGATTTATACTTTTAGAGAAAATGCAAACTACCTTTTTAAATGTCTGATCATAAAATACAGAATGTTCTTCAACTTTGAATCTCTCTCAAAATGGTAATGTGCTAAGTGCCTTTCAGTCTGTTAGATAAGGATTCTGTCATGAATTCACCATCTCTTTTAATCAGGGTGAATGTGCTGGCTGAGTATTGGCTCATTTAAAATCCATATCCTAAAATCAGCGCATTTATTCACAGCGGTGAATTGTCCAGAGCATATACATATGCTTACACATACATTGGGTAGGAAAGAATCCAGGCCAATGAGCTATCCTTATATATATTTCATTTCTGTTCAACTTTTTTAAAAAATTATTTTTAACAGAATTACATAGATATACAAAATGTTTTGCACATAAGTAAAAGCAGCAAAAATGTGATTAGGATGAATTATTACTGAAGACTTATAATATTTACCCATTTCCACTTTATTCCTTAACTCTCTTAATCAATAATATAGTAAATATGTATTGAGAAACAGTATACACATTGTCGAGTTTTAATATGCAGCATAGATACCATCTCTGAATAATTATCTGATTCACTAGATTTATTTAACATTTCTCTCCTCAACTGAGTGACCCTAATTCTGTCCTGAAAATCCAGCTGGATTCTTCCCATCTAATGGGTCATTCTTTTTTATTTAAACATATGTTTACCTTCTCAGAATTACCTAATAGGCCAAAGTAGGAAGGCTTTAAAAATCAGATTCCTGTAAAATAAGAAAAGCATTTATTTATTATTATTTCCAAATATCTGCAGTGTGATGAGGTGTTACATTTCGAAACAAATTTGAGTTCTCTGTGCAATCCCTGCCAGCACGTGAATCTGTAATCAGAGACACAGGCCTCATGCAGCCCTTCGCTTTCTTTGTGAATCCATGTGCACAATAACTAGCAGCACCAATAACAGCTTCACTTAATTAGTTTTATGGGACAAATTCTCTGTAATTGCTCTTACCAAATAAATGTCCACAGAAATCTTCATTTGCATTTCCAATCGAGGATTTGCCCAAGTTTCACCTTTGATGAGACTTGCACATTATAATGGAAATATTTACACAATCATTTTTTTGTTAATGCTGAAGTCTTGGCCATGAAAGTAAATAATATCGGTATTTTACTTTGTATTAATATTTATAAAATGTATAACTAAATTAAAAAAATTAAAAGTAGTCCCAATTTAGCAGGGCTAAAATGGTGATTTTTGATCACGATTGTTCAGCTCACCTTCCTGCCTGATTCTGGTTCAACATGTTCATTGAAATAAATAAAGGGAGATGAAAGAAGGCAAATTTCATTGAAATAAATAAAGGGAGATGAAAGAAGGCAAATTTCTCCATCAACCCTGGAAACTATGAAAGGGTATCTTTGACGTGCTGGAGTTACCATATGTGGTATACAGAGTGGATGATACTTGGTTAGGACAGACATGCTAAGGGAGGAAGACGAACGGCCAGTAGGATTTCTTTAGTGTCCTAGAACAGGAAGATGACATGTATAAATCTGAGCATATCACGCATGATGGTAAATGTTGAATGGGTCAACTTTTCTGTTAAGCAGAGAAACCTCTCACAGTGATTCAAAGAGTAAAATCTAACTGCTGCCTCTTTGAGACACCTCAAATATAGTACTACAGAAATGGGTGAGCAAAAGTAATCACACAAGTGTAAGTAAAAGATAAGTCAAACATACAGAGGAGGTTTTTATGGGTTAAAAGAGTCAATTTCATGATCAGTAAGGTTATAATAAACATGAACCTTTATGTGAATAATTTCCCATAGAAATATGTGTGTGTTTGTGTGTGTGTGTGTGTGTATAAAGTATGTGAAATACAGGAAAAAAATTACAAAAGTCCTAAGTAGCTAATGTAGATACCAAAACTGTAGTTATAGAAATTAACAATAAAATAGTATACATAAAAATTGTGGATAATGGACGATATAGTACTATAAACTTTGTCGTTTATAATTAAACAACAAAGGTTGAAAGTCATTTAAGCATCTCAGCAGAAGGAGCTAAAATAAGATAGAATGAAGAAAATGAGAAAGAAATTGATGAAGATAAAAATTAGCAATAATGTAGAAGATATGTAAACAGTGCATTTGATAAATCCAAATACTAGTTCTGTAAAAAGTAATTAAACAAGCAAATGGATAATATCACTAACATTAAAGGTTTTCTTCTTTATTCATTAAGGAAAAGACACGTCCACCTAGCAGAAAAGTTCATTTGAATGGGTAGAGATCGGAATAATTAAACTGATAATTATGTGAATGGCTCATGCTTTATTCACACATAATTATGATTATCAAGAATATAGATGATGGAGCCAGACCACATGGGCTGGGACCCAACCTAATTCCTTAACTGGCTGTGTGATTTTTGGTCAGTTACTAAACCTCTCTGTTTCTATTTCCTCCTTGAGGAAATGAAGGTCATTATCATAATGCCTACATCGGAGGTCAGTGGTGAGGATGCAAATGGTTTGGCAAATGTAACGTGATTACAGCAGAGCACACAGTAAACACAGTGGAAGCGATCATCTTTATCACCTTTGTTTAAAAAACTTAGATTATTAAATTATTTGAAGCAATCGGATTCATAAATGTAGTAAAGATTTTTCATTAGCAGTGACGACTAAATGGAGAAAAGACCCTGTCAAGCACTGTCGGAGGGAGTGGGACTTGGAACAAGCCTGGGTGGAGGCACCTCGATAAAATGGATTAACATTGAATATACACGTGTCTTTGGGCATTTATATTCTAGGTGTCTGTTTTAGAGTCACCTGGGACTCGAGGAGATGCAGTCATTACGCATGGCCACACAGATGCTAAATGCCAGAGATGGGAATTGAATCGAAGTCTGTCTGGTCTCACAGTCCTACCACGGCCTGCTGTTAATAAACATATGAAGGAAAATGTTCAGTCTCATTAGTTATTAAAAAAGCACATATTAAAACAACCTGAGGCCGTTTTATTCCTAGGAAATTGCTGTATATTAAATAAAAATGCCTACAGTTGGCAGAGTTGCAAGAAAATGGACAGGCTCATTCACAGAGGCTAGGAGTATAAATTAATACAGAATTGCAGGAAGGAAAAAACCATCGAAGTAGCTATATCCTATGACTCTGAATTTTCTTTTGGCTATGCTTTAGTTGTCCTGTTTAGTGGAGGCTTTAAAATTATTAAGAGATAAAAATAATTTTCTGATTTCTAAGTATATGTAGTAAACAGTTCTTGACAAGAGAATTATGTTTTGCTTTTATTTCCTGTTACATAATGCGTACCTAGAGGAGTTTAGCAAGTTGGGATTTTATAGAACTTTTAATCCTATATTCTGGTGTTTGAAGTTCAATTATATAAAGTCTGTGGAAAATTTACTGAGGATTAAATTTTAAAAAGATTGTGGTAAATGAAAATATTTAAATTTTTTCCTTTTTGGTTACCATTTTAGTGTTTAATTATGATACTAAATCCTCAAATGCATTGGCTGGTTCATGAACCGAACATATTTCACATACAAAGTAGTACATTCTCCTTTCCTTTATTCTTTACCTTTTTCTACAAGACATCCCTTATAGCAGACAGACTGAAAAAGTGGAATCAACCAAATGTTAATCAACAGGAAAATTCATAAATTGTAATTTATTTATATTTTGAAAATTATATAGAAGTTTAAAGAAATGAGATAGATCTATATAGTAATACAAATTATTAAATATAAAATCATATTGACAGACACAAAGTGAAGTTGCAAAATACAGTTTGACACTTAGATGAAAAATTGAAAATACTTTCTTTAAGACTATATTTATGAATATGAATTCTCACTACAAATTTAGGTGGGATACACACCAAACTTCTATCTAATTTTCATCCAGGGGGAGGGATTGTGGTATTTATGAAAGTTCAAAGGGCCTTTAATTTTTTCTGTCATTTTTTTCAGAGTTTTTACACATTTTTGAACTTGTAGTTTATGTATTTTAGGACAGTATTATATTAAAGTGCCAAATCTAAAGAGCCTTAATTATATCTCTGTCTTTAATAGCTGCTTTAATGTCCCCAGGTGGACTCTGTTTTGCTGACACAATTCTAGGACATTGAGAAAGAGGAAATGATCATTTACCAAATTAAAAAAAAACCCCACAGAACAACAAAACTTCTTTTATTGTAAAATATTTCTTTTTATACTGACACCTCTTGTTCTTCTGTTGACCTTCCCTAACCCTTCAGAAATGGAAATTTTAAGATAACAGTACAATGCCTGTGGGTCGAAGCAAAGCTAAATTGGACGAAAGTCAGCTTGGCAAATGGTCACGCTGTTTTTGTATTTATTTCTTTCAACTTTCACACCCACAATTTATTAAGTGAGGCTGCGGAGAAAAGAGGAAGCTCCGAATCCTGTTTGGACACCGTTTAGGAAGGAAACCAGGTCTTTATGGGGCACTCCTTCCTTTTAGCCACTGGCCAGGAAAACCATCTCTCTGTGTAAGAGCTATTCAACCTAGAGAGGTGGGGCGACTTTGGCAAGGAAGGTGACCTCTCCCTTGTAAAATGAAATGGCTTTGTCCCCGACCCCCCCGCCCCGCCTCCGTGACTTATTCAACTCACTTCCACTGCTGTTCATAAGCACACTTGTGCTGAACACTTGTAGTGACAGCAATAGTCCTTTAAAATATGGCTCAAATTTCATGGCCTCAAATTTCCTAGGTTATTTCAAATCTTTGATCATGGGCAATCCCAAATGGAGCTTTTGGTCAGCTCCAATTTTGCTGATGTCACTTTGGAGTTAACAGGTATGCCTCCGGCAAGCCCGAAGTTTAATCAATACATATGCGACTACTGTGTGTAATAAAAGCATCACCACTATCAATTCTGGGAAGAGAGTGCCTTAATGGGAGCCGACTTGTTTCCAAAATGATGCAGGAAATGTTTTTCTTAGATGCCTTCGTGCTGGGGCCCACAGCTCGATGAGTGTGTGGAACTGCCGGTGGCACCTGCCAGGAGAGGCTGTTGGAAGCGTTTGTTGAGTTTGAAGGTTTCTCAGCGTTTCGTACATTTTAAATATTTTTGGATTTTTTGACCTGAACTTTAGCTACCTCATTTATTTAATTCGCATTCCTTCTCCGGCGGTGAAACACGGATCATGTTATTCAAATTGGTGCCTTTATTTATTTTAAAAGATATTTGAATAAGTTTTTTTATTTTGGAATAATTTTCAGTGCACAGAAAAGTTGCAAAGATGGTACAGAGTTCCCATATACCGCTCACCTCGTTCCCCCTAATGTTAACGTCTTTTATGGCCGTGATACATTTGTCAAAAGTACAACAACAACAACAGCAACAACAACAACAACAAAACCCCAATACTGGCATTGTACATTACTATTAACTAAACTCTGGTCTTTACTTGAATGTCACCAGCTTTTCTAATAATGTCTTTTCTCAGTTCCAAGACCCAACCCCAGGGTACCTACCGCATTGCCTTTAGTTATCTTATCTCCTTCGTCTTCTCAATTGTGACATTTTTTCCAAGTTTCCCTTTTCCCATGACCTTAGCTGTCTTGAGGAATACTGGACAGGAATTCTGTAGAATATTTATCTTTTTTAAATAAATAAAAATGTATAACCTCTGAGATTTTTTGAAGGAAAGCCCGTGGGGATGTAGTAATAATTTCTGCCACTAATTTTCCATTAATATAATCAGGTTCAGCCTGGTCATTGTTACTTTATCTTATCAGTTATAACAGCACTCTAGAATTAAAAGTTGATTTAAGCTGATTTTAGTATTTGCTTAATATGTGCTTCATCCGTATTGTACTCTGCATTCTCAACTTTGTCAGTTTAGTCTAAACCCCATAGAAAGTTGATATTGTATCTATTGCTTATGACAGATTCGAGATGGACAAACCAATTGTTACGTATTGAAGAATAAAGATTTAGAACAAGCTTTTAAAGGAGTTATTTACTTGGAGATGGACCTCATATATAATCCGGTAAGTCTAACTTGGCCATATCTTCCAGTTTCTCGGTTCCTAACATGAAAGGTGACGAGTCTGGGGAAACTCAAATCAATGTAAAATGTTTCAGAGTATTGCAGAGAGGAAGAAGGGGGTGCGGGGGAGAGACCCGGAGAAAGAGGGAGGGGGAGGGAGAGAGGGAGAGAGAAGTGTTTTAAGACTCAGCCATCAAATTGGTGCTGGACACTCCAGTTTTCAACTGCTATTAATCCTATTTCTCTGGATCGTTGAGAAGAAATGAGATTATCTGTACAAAAGATGTTTTTATAAGTGGAAAGCAGATTTTCACATGCAAGAAAAAGTAGCCCAAAAATTTGATGTGAAAGGAAGTTTTCCTTTTTAGACACTTCACTTTGAGAAGTTCAGGAACCCAATCTCTGCAGTGGTTCAGAATACCTCCATTGATTTGCAAATGTTCTGGAGTCTTCCAGATGGGTCTGACCCTGCAGAGGGAAGCTCAGGCAGTGAGATCCCCAGAAACACGCAGGGCTCAGGGGCGGCCACCGTTTCCCTGCTCCCCGCCCCAGGTCTTGGGGTCAGAAGGTATTGGTTTCCAGGTTCTTCCTAGTCATTAAGAAGAGAAAGGGAGAAGTGAAATCCACAGAAATGCCTCCCTTTTTAACAGTGATGTCTTTCTAGATCAAAGCAAGCATTAGGACGTTTTCACCCAGGGAAAAGCGCTTTGTGGAAGACAGCCGCAAGTTGTCCAAAAAGGTAGGTCTCTATGGGAAGCTGGCTTGTTGGTACACTCAGCATCCAGGACCTGAAGTCCCCTTTGTCATTAACTTGCTGCAAGTCCCCTTCCTCTCTCCCTCTCCCTCTTCCCCTTCCTCCTCCTCTCCTCTCTCTCCTGCCACCCTTCCCCCCTCTCCTCCTTCCCTCTGTTCTCCTCTCCCAAAACAAAGACTTTAGTCAGCTGAGTAAGAAGGGAAAGACTTAAACCATATCTATTGGCTCAAACAGGCGTCAGCCCTCCATTAATCTCCCGAACCGTCCTATAAACACAAATTCTGAGCGTCAAGCCCCTATGAGCGCTCTCCGGAATCTCCTTGCCCTGCCTGCTTTCCAATAATCATAACCATTTCTGCGTCTGTCCTTCGAAGCTTCAGGCAGGTGTTCTGTCTATTTAGTTCATGAAGAAGTTAACCCAGTGGCTCTTTAGTGACTTCTAGCCTCAGGCTCACACAGCTTCTACCACGTCTGTGTCGTTTGTGTGGTCTAAATTTGGGTGTGTTGGCACTTCACCGTATTTTGAATGGCCTCTCTCTCGCTCTGTGCCCGTCGCCCTGAATTCCTCTGTCTTCATTTCAACCCAGCGTGAAGGTCTGAGCCCCGCAGGGGAAGTTGCACATTTTTTTTTTTAAAACATGACTTTTACATTTCTTTGCAGACCCCACCCTGTCCTGTTCAGACGCTGTTCAGGATTTCACTCAGTACCTATTGTCCCTCTCCAGTTGTGTAACAAAGAACAAAGCGTCCCCTTTTTAAAGCGTTTATTACTTCCACCACTTCCTGTGGGGTGGGCAGCTGTGGATGACATAAAGAAGTTAAATATAAAGGCACCTTATCTTCCTTTTGTTTCCCCGCGAACGGGGCACACTTGGGAAAGGCCTTGAATGTCTTCTGAAGGGAGCATCCAAGTGCTTTGCTTTGGTCTGCATTAACATTAAGTGTAATATTTACTCTGTGTAATTGGAGTAAACCTCTTATATTTTTATTAGTATTATAGCCTTTGCTCTGTTTACTTGAAAGTTAAAACCTGAGTGGAGGTGGGTGGGGTAGCTGCTTTGCAAACAAATTGAAACAAGTCTGCCTACAACTGGGAGAAAAGACATTTCCTTTGCCAAACACAGACCTCCCTGTGGGGTGGCTTTGGGCTCTGAGAGCCCCAGGGAATTGGGGCTGGCCTTGGGGGTATGTTAGGGTCCCCCTCCCTGTGCCTTATACCATGAGGTGTCCCCGAATTGTCATAAAATTGAAACATGCTTATGGTGCTTTAAAGCACTTACTATGCGACAAGCACTATTCCAAGCCCTTTAATTCTCTCCACAAGCTTCAAGGTTGGTACTAGTATCAATCACGTTGTGTAAGAGAGAGGTTAAGACCCTGGCCCAAGTCACACGTCCAGGAGATGGGAGAACTGAGTTCCTTTTCCAGAGTTATACTTTCTTATAGACTTCTGGACTCAATGAGTGAGAATATCTGTACATTTTACTATAAATTACCCATTGTCTTCTAAACTAAACAAGGGAGACACTTGCTCCCATTCCCTCTGTCTCTAACACACACACACACACACACACACACACACACACACACACACACACCCACCCCCCCCCAAATGCCTGGGTCTGTAGCTTTTGCCAGCTCACTTTTGTGATGAACATTGTGATGAAATAGGTTATTCTCTACCAAAGGTGCCATGAAATGCATTGTATGTTCCTCTCCTCTATGGATGATCGTATTTTTATAAAAGATTTTAGAAGAAGCATGAGGACTTCTCCTTTCTATTTTTTAACTGGAAGCAATACAAAATATAATTTAAATGACCAAGCTGCCTGATCTAAAGAGAATATTGGGAGTATTCAAATCTAGTTCTCGGTGTTCCGTTTCTTTTGATCAGATCTTATCAAGAGATGTGGACCGTGTGAAAAGAATCACCATGGCGATATGGAATACAATACAGTTCCTTAAAAGCTGCTTCCAGTGGGAGTCCACAGTGAGAAGTGCAGTAGCATTTGTGGTAAGCTTCCTTTTTTGTGCTCAAATTGTTTGCGTCTGAGTCTTAAGTCCAAAGGCAGATGGGCTTTATTTTACCGGCATAAAACAGAATGATACACTGTCGACCTAACTGCACCTCACACCTGTAGGGAAACTTAAACATAAATGGTATCTATTCATATTTCTAAAATATATTACGGCAAAGGTCATTATGTAGATGTATTTCTAAGATAATATAGTGCGTAAGTTAGATTTACCCTTGGAAATCTCTTCACTTACCCAAATCTTACTCATGCACTACTTCTTGGTAAGTTCAAGAGAACCAATGTTCTGTATCATTTTAAATGTTTTTGTGGTGGTATTATAACCATGCTAGTATAGTCCCTGCATTGTGTACGTATCTCTCCCTTTGTTCCAGTGAATGCCAGTGTTTTTTGAGAAAGGGTCATTGAAAAATCATGACTAAATGAAGACAGAATTGCCCTAATTTTTGTTTTAGGTAAACCATTCACCAACTTTGATATAAAAAGCATTTATTCACATCACATAGCTTGAGAAATAACTGATTACTACGTGTTATAAGTTCACTTAGCCCCACAAAGGAGAACCACTAATGTATGTGAAATGTACCTCTCGCTGATAACATGGGCCCATCCTTATACATGTAATGAAATCACAGAATCTCAGAGCCACTAGAGATCCTAAAACCACCCTAGTCACCACTGAGAGTCCAGGAAACTTGGGAGGACTTGAAAGTTGGCCCCATGCCCTCTCTCTACATCTCCTGGCATTCTCCTTCATTTGTAAATGGACTTGTCTTCAGTCAGATTGGTAGGCTCAGATGTGGGAAGAGAAACCACGTCTCTCAACTGCTAATCTTGCACATTTTGTATCATGCCATTAATTTCCGTCCTATGCAAAGCTCTCAGCAGGGCCTCATATGATGTGTGAGGAGTCTGAGTCATGATCCCATGTCATGACCACGGTCCTGTTGTCTCTTATGTTCTATCGTCATTGCTCTGTCCCACCTCACAGGCATACCCTCATTAAAATTTAAAAAAAAAAAATGCCCAAGATGTCAGTGGGTTCAAGGTTACTCCAGCCTTTGTGGCACCCACCTGTGGAACAAGTGTGTCAGCTCTTTCAGAGCCTTTGTCCTTGATATTGGAGAGCATTTTGCTTGGTCTTGCTAATTTCAGTATTTTATTGCTGTGGGATGTAGAGGGCCTATGATGGCTGCAGCCTTGACCTTCCATAAACGTTTTTCTTTAGCCTGAAGTTGGTAAAACAATTGGCTTTAATCAAATCGTTACTAAGGATTTCGTTAATCTCTATTTGCCTTTGCCTTGGCGTTTATTCATCCGTTCCCCTTTCTGAAGTTCTCCTCTGCCGGGGGCTTCATGTGGTGGCTTCCCCTTCAGCTTCTATTCCTCCACTACCTACCTGGATTCTCTTAACCACTTTCCCTGAGACGCTCTGTGTGACTGTGGGCAAGAGAGGAAAGTCACCTCAGTCGATGGCTTCTTCCAGTCAGCAGCCCAGCCGGCCTCTGCAGGGAGGAGAGGATTTTCTTCTTTTTCTTGAGCTTAACTTCTGGCACTGTGATTTTTAGAAAAACAGATCTGTTGCCCTGGGTTATGTAGGAGAATGACAGAAATGATTAATGGGCTGCCGGCCTGATCTGAAGAAAGATTACCACAAATGAATAGAAATAGGTTGTCTTAATGGGGGCTTCTGATCGGGAAGGGAGCTTTGGCAGGGGGGCCACTTCTGCCCTGCCCGTTCCCTCTGCCAAGCTCGCTCGCTCTCTGTTGTCCCGAAGGTACTGGAATGAAGAGTGCTCACTTAAACATGTTTGGTTTTCAGTTTCAATTTGGAACTCTACGTTTGTCTCACACGTATGTTGACCACCCATAGTGGATCTCAGAGATACTGCAGCTATAGAGGGGTGCTCCCCTCCCTAAACTGATGAAGTATAATTTTATTAGAGGCTGTTTTTGTAATGACATTCCTAATGGGGCATTCCAGAACTATTTCTGCTCTTAAAAGAAGAGCATATAAGAAAGTGCATTTTTAGGATAAAATTAAAAAAAACATATTTAAGCTCCTTTATTTTATTGTATATATTTTAAATAAGTTTATGTGTAGCCAGACCTTTATTTTTTGGGACAACATTTTGCTTTCATGGATCTTGCCCCCAGAATTACGTTAGTTGCTTAGAGCTATAATTGGTATTGCAGAACCAGTTATATCTATGGATTTGTTTTGGTTTGCTTTGGTTTTTATTGAGTACTTATATTTTAGAAACCCCCGTATTATCTATAAAAGGCCTGAAGTGGTATCATGGCATAAGTGTATTATTTTTTTTCATATGACAGTAAAGCTTTCATTTGACAGATGTCATCATCAGAGTATTTTAAATAGCAAAAGTCTCCTAATTCCGTACAAAAGGGTTGCGCTTACGTAGTTTGGTTTTTCCACCAATCCCTCGGGCACTGTACACCTAGTGCATCGGGGGAGGCCAGTCTGTGGGGCATTGATGGATTCCTCATTTTATTAAATTTTTTCTTGGACGTTTGATGTTAAAAGTAATCTAAGTCCACCATATATCAATGGGCATCTTCATAAAGCTATGATTTTCACATCTGTGAGTTTTTTCCTGAAACTTTTTGAGTGTAGCAAAAAAAATGAAGAATTTATTCTTCAGAGTTGACAGGGCCTGCAATATGATACATAATCTAAAGCATCAATCAACCCTCCCTAACCCAAGAAGGTTAAAAATGCAGTTCTCCACTTTCTTAGAGATAGCCCATATTTAACATACACAAAATTCTTTGTGTTTAGAGATCCTGGAATTTTGAGAAATGATTGTATATTAAACTTCAAAGCCACAGTACCAGTAATAGAGCTGACCCTTCTAACACACACACACGCACACACGCACACACACGCAAAAGGCACTTGGGAAACAAGAAATTTCTCTGTTGAACATTTAGTGAGTATGGTTTAGGAACAATTTTTATATGAGATCTTGGTAGCTTCTGTCTATGATCCCCTCTTTGGCCCAATAACATTCCAATTGAATTTATGTTGGTACAAACGACAACTACAATGAAAATTTGTTTTCAGATGTATTATTCACATAGTGCTGGTCAAATGTTTTTTTGAGGCTTTTAGATGTTTATCTGTTAGCTTCGCCTAAAAGGTTAACTTTTTCTTCAAGTTCTATCACCAGTTCACTCACAACTAGCTGTACCTGCCTTTGATTGAACTCTCAGTGGCTGTTTCCACATCCGCTGGAAGTCACACCTGCGTGTGCAAAGCAGACGCCATTGCCTGCTGGCAGGTGTTTGTGCAGTTGTAACTCAACATTAACCGCGTTTCCCTAAAGCTGGAAAAAATTCACAGTTCCAATAATCACTTTGCCTGGAGAAGATATTTTTTAGACATCCTAAATGCATATATATATATATATATATATATATATATATATATATATACACACACTTATATGCAAAATGTATAAATACATAAAATGCTTAAAATATTTGACAGTTTATATTTGGTTTATTTAAACATGTAAGATGATTTCCCCAATCTTCCTTTCCAGAGAGGACTACATTATGTATTTTTAAATAATATACAGCTTTTTTTATAACAACAATCCATTATTGCAAATTGTGATTATAATTTTTGCAACATAATTGTACCTTCTATTGACAACTTCTCAGGCATTATCTAATTATTCCATTTAATAAAATTATAGTAATTGCATTAAAAGATTATCTGTTGAAAATTTAAAAGGACAGCCTTAACTATTTTAGCATATTTTCATGTTTGTAATTTCAACTTTATAATTGAATTTTACTTCCAGGTAGGATCATGGCTATGCTGACTAAAATCATTGGGAATTTTGGGAGTATCCCAACTTTTGCTAGTATGCGTTACATCTTCATTTTTTTAATCCTAGACTTTTTAATCCTTGGTGCGTTGCCAGTCTTCACTTAGCCCTATTAGATAGTAAGTGAATGGTGTTAACTCACCTTTTGTATTACGTCCAGGCCAGATATGGGCGCCCTCTGTCATTATCATGGGGCCCCTGAGCTTCCTGTTGGATGTGCTTGCAAGCACATTCTCTACTTTCTGTGCATGTTCTGGGTTAGGAGCCATGGTCTTTGGCAGAGTCCAGGGGATTCAGTCTAGTTCTACTGTCTGGAGAAACCCTCCCATTGATTTGAACTTGATCCCGATTTTGAGATCTTCAATCATAAAGAGAAGACTCCAGCGAGCAGGTCACTCCTTGACCCAGCCAATGCTCGATCCCCTTCTTCAAGCTGGCCTTCTCCCTCCCTCCCTCCCTTCCCGCAGCCATCATTTGCCCGTGGTCTCATGTGAGACACTGAGACACAAAGGGGGAATTTTCCTAGTGAGCAGTCCGTCACTCTTACTTCGTCTGTCCCTCTCTCCCCAGCACTCCTTCCCACCTCCTTTGCTGCCCCCTACTTTCTTTCTTCCACTGTCCTCCTCTTATATTTGAACCAAGGAGGTAACCTTTCAATGATTAAAGCACACCATAGGAAAAAAATTAAATTTTCCCTGTGGAGATCAAATTAGGTAATAAGCATAAAAATATTTGAAGAGTATGACATGGACTACGAATGGGGGTTGGGCTTGATCTGATGTGAGGTCTTGCTAGCAACCTGTTCAAGAATAGGATAGAGATACAGACCCTTGTATTATATGCCATGTAACTAATGCTCAAGAATCAACTCTTTCTAGGCCTAATTAATGTGCATGGAACCACCAAATGCAGAAGCAGGTGAGTCTATGTTTAAGGCTATGATAGTACTTTCTGTGTTTGACCTAATAAATTAAGGCCATCTCATGAAAAATAGGCCAGTTATACGAAACAGTCACAAGGATGTAAAGTACACCATAGGGAATATAGTCAGTAATATTGTAGTACGTATATACGGTGCCAGTTGGGTACTAGACTTGCTGGGGTGATCACTTCATAAGGTA